GAAAAAGCCAACATAACGTTGATCCACAAAGAGGGCACAGACCCAACGGAGATAAAAAATTTCCGACCCATCTCCCTCCTAAATACTGATTACAAAATCTTCACCAGTATTATGGCAGACAGACTTAAAAAATTACTTAAAAATTGGATATCTGAAGACCAAACAGGTTTCTTGCCCAATAGACAAATAAAGGACAACACTCGCATAATCATAGACACCACTGAGTACTATGAAAAACATAACGAGAAACAGCTCGCCCTTTTATTTATTGACGCCGAAAAGGCGTTCGATAAAATTAATTGGGATTATCTAAAATTCTTACTAAAAGAAATTGACATTGGTTACAATTTTTACAACGCAATAGAGGCAATATATACAAGGCAAGAAGCCACTCTCATTATAAACGGGCAAGAATCAAACATTCCTATCCAAATTTGCCAAGGCACACGTCAAGGGTGCCCACTCTAGCCACTGTTGTTTATACTAATTATGGATACACTGATTAAAAACATAAATGAAGATCCAAAGCTACAGGGAATAAGAATCAAGAAACACCAATTCAAACTTAGAGTTTATGCCGACGACGTGGTTTGCATCGTAGAGGACCCTCTGGTAAGTATAAACAATTGGATAAGGAAAATTGAAACCTTTGGAAATCTGGCCGGATTCAAATTGAATATGCACAAAACCAAAATGTTAGTCAAAAACATGGATAAAAAATCTAAAGACCTATTACAAGACAAATCTGGAATAAAAATCGAAAATAAAATAAAATATTTAGGTGTCACTATAACGCCAAGTAATATCAATTTAATAAAGAACAACTATGAAGCCCTATGGAAAAACATCAAAGCAGATTTGGAAAAATGGAAACACCAAAATATCTCCATACTAGGTAGAATTGCCACCATAAAAATGAATATTCTTCCCAAAATCTTATTCCTTTTTCAATCGTTACCGATTATTAGGAATGACTTCCTCTTCAAAAAATGGAAGTCAGACATCATCAAATTCATTTGGAAAAACAAAAAAGCAAGAATCAGCCATAAAATTCTCACAGATGAAAAAAAAGAGGTGGTTTAGGACTACCAAATTTAAAATTGTACTATGAGGCGTGTAATTTAGTTGCCATCAAAGAATGGTGCACCCTCCAAAACCCCAAATTACTAGCATTAGAAGGTTCAGACCTCAGATTAGGATGGCATGGATATATTTGGTTCGACAAAAGAAAAATAGAAAAATCTTTCAACAACCACTACATAAGGGCTGCCCTAATTAAAACATGGGAGAAATATAAACCACGACTCTACAATAAAACCCCCATGTGGATCTCACCAATCGAAGCGCTACACAAGAGAGAGATAGGCGGTGAAAAATGGCTAACCTATAACCAAATTCTGAAAGTCGGCGAGGATCAAAAATTATACTTAAAATCTATAGAGGAAATAAAACATTTGAACCCCAAATTCACATGGTTACAACACCACCAACTATTCCAACACTTTAAAAAAGATGAAAAGATAGGGTTCTGTCGGAAACAAGGATTTTGGGAAACAATATTGCAAAAAGAAAAAAACTAATTAAAATAGCATATAAACAACTGCTAGGCTGGGAAACGGAAGACGAACAAATTAAGGATTGTCAAGTAAAATGGGCCAAAGATATAGGCCATAACATTTTAACAAGACAATGGGAGGAAATATGGAACTCCAAATTAAAATACACAGTAGCAAGCGATCTTAAAGAAAATTGGCATAAGATGTTTTTCAGATGGCACTACTCACCAGTGAAAATCTCTAAATTCAGTAAAAACTTTTCAAATAAATGTTGGAAGTGCCAAAAAGAGACAGGAACATACTTCCACCAATGGTGGGCGTGCAAAAAGGTTAGGAAATACTGGAGAGGAATACACTTAGCTATACAAAAAATACTAAATATCAATTTCCCACAACTCCCAGAATTGTATCTTTTAGGTATCTCCTTTCCCAAATTTAATGCCAACCAGGACAAATTATTTTTTCTACTAAGCACGGCAGCTAGAATAACGCTAGCCAAACTATGGGAAAAAAAAGAAATACCCGCAACAGAAGATTGGATCTTAAAGTCATTTGAAATAATCCAAATGGACTGTCTATCACAACGTTTAAACAACTCATCTAAGAAGACAAACTGGACGGTCTTTAAGGAATACATCGAAACGAACAAGAAACTAACGCTGTCAATCGACCTAGCCAGCATCTGAGAGAAACACTAAACTTTCTTAAGTCACGCCGTATTATTTTTTCACAAGAAAACAATACCAAAAGACTCTTACCTTTGAAGACTATGGGAAGTCAACCCACTCTGGGACAATCCCCTCCCCTTCCCCCCTTCTCTTTTTTCCCCTTTCCCTACCACCTCCAATCTCAACCCTCCCTCACACCTCCTCCCTCCCCTCCTCTCAACCCCCCCCACCCCCACCTCTTATCCCCTTCACACCCCCCACGCCCCATTTTATGTTGTATATATTAAAATCTTTTGCAATAAAAATTATAATTAAAAAAAAAAGTCTCTTCTGTTGTTTTGAACTACCAGCTTCATGTTTCAGATACTCTTCCAAGCAAATACATTTGTGATGCTGCGCTAAAGATACATAAGGTGAAGAACAGCCAAGAGCAACACAGCAAGAAACTATTGATTGGCTTTGGCTCCCTACTGTGTGTTCTGTTTGTATATTTACCTTCATGATTTGGCTGGGGTTCACAGTGATGCTTCTGTTTGGGAGTACCTGACGGTACATTTTCCTTGTGAAAAGAGATCTACATCTATGTCATGCTTGGCTTCTGGAACTGGTTTCATGTATAGCAAAGTAACCTGAGAAATCAAGTGGGAAACAAGCCTAGGTGTGTGGCCCTAGAATCCACATTTATAAACATTATGCCATTATGAAAGATTAATTAGTCTGCTAAGGACTTTTGATCGTTTTTCTATCCATGCTGGATGTACACTAGTATTCTCTGGCAGAGAAGCCTGAAGACTTCATAAAACTACAATGCCTATAATTCAAAACATTGAGCCATGGCAGTTAAAGTGGTGTCAATCTGCATTAATTCTACAGTATGGATGCACCCTAGAGATCAGGGTTTGAATCCCAAATATGTGTTTCCACTCCATTTCTATGGATGCATCTACACACTGTAGAATGAATGCAGTTTAGCACCACTTTCAACCGCCATGGCACAACGGTAGGCTTTTAAGGAAGAAGGTTTTTAAGATCCAGTCAGGGGCTGCAATGGGTTAATCCAGCTTTTGCACTTTCTTCTTTCACCTTGGTTAGAAGACTCTTCAGCTGCTCCTTGCTTTCGGCCATCAAAGTGGTATCATCTGCATATCTAAGGTTAATGTTTCTTCCATCAATTTTAACTGCAGCCTTGGATTCGTCAAGCCCGCACATTGCATGATGTATTCTGCATACAAGTTGAATAAGTTGGGTGAGAGTATACAGCCTTGTTGTACTCCCAGTTTGTTGGAAATTTGCCCAGTTTCCAACAAACCTCACAACCTCTGAGGATGCCTGTGGCTGAAATATCAGGAGAGAATGCTTTTGGTACATGGCCATACACCCTGGGAAACTCACAGCAACCCAGTGATTCTGGCCATGAAAACCTTTGACAACAACAACAACAACAACAACAACAACAACATAATAATAATAATATAATGCCATGGAATAATATAGGTTGTAGTTGGGTAATGCACCATCACTCTTTGGCTTGTTGTTGTTCATTCGTTCAGTCACTTCCGACTCTTCGTTACCTCATGAACCAGCCCACTCCACAGCGCTCCCTGTCGGCCGTCACCAGACCCAGCTCCTTCAAAGTCAAGCCGGTCACTTCAAGGGTGCCATCCATCCATCTTGCCCTTGGTTGGCCTCTCTTCCTTTTTCTTTCCATTTTCTTTGCATTATCTTTAGAGCATCAGATTCGTCGTTCACCTCCAGCACCGTCGGCTGCTAGCCTTCCTTTTGGCTTTGAGCTAGCTGCGTCATCACATCTGGGGCTAGTTGAACTTATCCTCTGCTCCTCCCCAGTAGCATCTTGACCATCTTCTGACCTGGGAGTCCCATCTTCCGATGGCATACCGACATATCTCTGGTTGTACTGGTCCATTTAGTTTTCTTGGCAAGAATACTGGGGTGGTTTGCCATTGACGTACTTAGTCCTAATCTTTTTTCATACTGGTTTTAAACCACTTCATTGGATGTGTTGCAATAGCAGATTCCCAGATTAGTTTAGTGTTTACACCTTATTTTATTTTTCTGGTTATTTAATATTTAATGTTTATTTTACTTAAGTGATATTTGTCTTGACTGTTCTAATGTAGCACAAATCCTATGTAAAATCATACTACGTATTTTTGACATTAATATTGAAATCTGAAATATATACAGAAAGTCTTTACTTTGCTCTCTCTGCCACAACCGTCCCGTCTTGGGTGTCCCTTCACCGTTTCGCTCGTGACATCATTGAGGTGCTCAAGCTCCAGTGCCACGACATGGTGGCGATCCTTTGCTGGAGCACTCTTTGGCAGACCTTGTAAAACCTCCAACTCCAATTGGGCAAGTGTTATCAAACTGGGTTCATTCTATGGTGTAGAATGCACCTATCTAAACCAGAAGTGCCATCCAAAGCAATCCTCTGCCAAATTGCCATGCAACTGGGGGCCCTTCCACACAGCCCTATGTCCCAGAATATCAAGGCAGAAAATCCCACATTATCTGAGTGTGGATTCAGATAACCCAGTTCAAAGCAGATATTGTGTGGTTTTCTGCCTTGATATTATGGGATATAGAGCTGTCTGGAAGGGCCATGGGTCACCTTTCCATTAGGCAGAAAGAAAACCGATTCCAAACCCGCTCTGATCCAACTTTCTGGGGATTGTCTGAACAAGAGCTTCAATGATGTGGAGCTAGAGAGGCTGCAAAGCAAAGAGCCAGCCCTGCTTGCTTGCTTTCTGGAGGCTCCTCCTCTCCTCCAGCCTCAGAGGCTCATGGGGACTGCAGACGTCAGCTTTGCATGGCAGCCTCCAGGAAGCGCTGAAGTGGGTGCTTTAGGAAAAGGAGCCGGGCAGGAAGCAGGGAAACGACCAGGTGAGCCATGCAAAAGGCTTGGAGGTTTCCCCAAAAGGATTGCAAATGAGGGCGACCTCATTCCCAGGGAGGGAAGGAGGAAGGGGGATCCAGGAGGCATGGAGGCTGCCCAGGAACAATGGGGCCACATGCTGCACTGAGCACATCTGTCAAAGAAAGCCTGCCTGCTTTATGGATCCATTCTGTTCAGGAAATTGCAACATTTGCATTTCCTCTCACGTGTTTGGGTGCATCTGTATTGTAGGAGTGCAGGGTTGACACCACTTTAAACTGCCAAGGATCACTGCTAGGGAATCAAACTACAACTCCATGATTCCATTGCATACACCTTTGGCCATTACAATAGTGTCAAACTGAATTAATTCTACAGTGATTGTAGATCCACCCCTACAATAGCAGAAGCCAGGACATTGGCAGCAATTTTGTGTATAGTAAACTTGTGGGTCCCCAGATGTTTTGGCCTTCAACTCCCAGAAATCCTAACAGCCGGTAAACTGGCTGGGATTTCTGGGAGTCATAGGCCAATGCACCTGGGCCTAATGTAAGCTGGTCCTAAATAGTTTTGGCCCAGCTTACCTGTCTGAACATATCTCCCTCTGAGCCAGCTAGGAGGTTAAGATCTTCTGGGGAGGCCCTGCTCTCGGTCCCACCTCCTTCACAGGTGCGGTTGGTGGGAAGGAGAGATGGGGTCTTCTCAGTGGTGGCTCCTCAGCTATGGAACTCCCACCTTAATGAAATCAAATCAACACTTTTCCTCCTGAACTTCAGGAAAAAGCTAAAAACATGGTTGTGAACCAAGCTTTTGGTTAGTAATTTATCAGTGCAGTAAGTGAACAAGGAATAGTGCAATGACAATTGGAACAGCCTCGGACTATGATATTAGATCGCATGATTTTAAATAAGTGGTTTTAAATGTTCGGTATTTTTAGTGGTGGTTTTAATGTATATATTTATTTAGCCGGATGTATATTAGTGTGGCATTGAATCGTTGCCTATATGTGTGAGCTGCTCTGGGTCCTCTACGAGGTGAGAAGGGTGGGGTATAAATATGGTAAATAAATTAATAAAAGCTGTTCCTGAAGCAGCTTCCTCTTTTGCTTTGGCTCAGTACTAAGATTACCATATTACAGTAGAGTCTTGCTTATCCAACATAAACAGGCCAGCAGAACGTTGGATAAGCGAAAATGTTTGAAGGATTAAGGAAAAGCCTATTAAATGTCAAAATATGTTATGATTTTATAAATTAAGCACCAAAACATCATGTTTTACAACAAATTGACAGAAAAAGCAGTTCAATACAGGGTGATGTTATGTAGTAATTACTGCATTTATGAATTTAGCACCAAAACATTGCTATGTATTGAAACAGCTGTGGATCCGGGCGGGAGGCAGACTGCATTGGATAATACAGAATGTGAAGATTGGATAAATGAGACTCTGCTGTACATTAATCTAATGCACACACCCTAATTTTGGGATGGTAATTTAGCCAAAGAAGCCCCCAGTGGCGCAGTGGGTTAAACCGCTGAGCTGTTAAACTTGTAGACCGAAAGGTCACAGGTTCGAATCCGAAAGCGACGTGAGCTTCCTCTGTCAGCCCCAGATTCTGCCAACCTAGCAGTTCGAAAATGTGCAAATGTGAGTAGATCAATAGGTACTGCTCCGGTGGGAAGGTAACAGTGCTCCTTGCAGTCATGCCGGCCACATGACCTTGGAGGTGTTTATGGACAACGCCGACTCTTCAGCTTAGAAATGGAGATGAGTAACATCCCCCAGAGTCAGACATGACTGGACTTAATGTCAGGGGAAAACCTTTACCTTTTTTAATCTAGCCAAAAAGGTGAGCGTTAGATTTGAGTAAATATGGTATGTCACACTGCCTTCTGTTCTGCAATTGTGAATAGGCACAATTCTATCACTACAGCAATCTTTGCTCACAATTAACCATTGTGGAAAGGGAGAGGTTATTGTGGCCAAAGTCTCTGTACCTTTGAAGTTTTGCCCTTTGGTTTGTCAGGCACTGCTGAGTTAATAAAAAGCAAAGAAAAAAGAGAGGAACAAAAGTTTTGCTACCATAGACTGAGGAAGTTGAGCTCGGACGAGAAGACTATTCAAGAAAGGTAATGGGAGAGATATAGATTGCAGTTTAGGAGACAGCGAGGGTCTGTTTGTTACACTGTGGATGTACAGCCTGCCTTTGACATTGAGGAGCATGTTTTATTTCAGCTTGTTTAACTTTAAATCCTAAGAGAACACGAAAGATATAAACCATAATGTTTGGTTATATTTAGTATTGCCGAAGTTCAGGGAATAATCTGTACCCTTCAATCCACAGTGAAAATGGAATAAATGGCTATCCAAAGAACATAAGAGGGAGAAAAAGAACAGCCCTTTTGTCTGAGGTTGAAGGTCAAAGTCCTTAGAAATATACCATTTGAAGTTCTTGTTTCTTTGGCCCTTTCAAGGTAGGAGTCTGGTTTTGTGTGTGTGAATCAGAGAGAAAGGCACACAATAAAGAAAGTTGGGCTAAAAAGTAAAGATTTTCCCCCCTCAAAATAGAATGTTAACATAAGAAAGATATATGAGAAAGGGAAATCTGTTCTAGCTTGATTCTTTGCATCTTGATTGTGAAATAAGTCCTATTGAACTCACTGGGACATATTTCCTGGTGGAAAGATTCAGGTTTGAAGTGGCAGATGGAAAATATCAGTGAGTACTTGTTGCATATAGGGAAATAAAATAATAATAATAAGTTGTAGACTTGTGCACGAGATGCGACTGTACCTTGAAAAGCCTGACTTTGCCATGGTGGTCCATGTGTTAGTTACATCTAGATTGGATTATTGCAATGCATTCTACGTGGGGATGCCTTTGAAGACAGCTCAGAAAATGCAATTGGTGCAAAGATCAGCAGCCAGGCTACTAACTGGAGCTAGTTATAGGAAGCACACAATGTCCTTATTAAAGCAGCTCAATTGGCTGCCGATAAGTTTCCAGATGCCGATAAGTTTCCAGATGTTCGGTCAACAAATAGATAGGACCCGAACATTAAGGTGATAATGTTATCACCTTAATGTTCGGGTCCTATCTATTTGTTGACCGAACCCCTCCATGAACCAGTGTGGGCTTTAAGATCTGCCGGGGAGGCTCTCCTCTCGGTCCCGCTACCGTCACAAGCATGGTTGGTGGGAATGAGGGAGAGGGCCTTCTCAGTGGTGGCCCTCCGACATTGGAACACCCTTCCCAGGAAGATCAGACAGGCCCCCACACTGTCCTCTTTTCATAGGGATTTGAAGACGTGGCTTTTTAAATAAGCTTTTGAAAATGCTTAGTCCCTAATTGCTCTGCGCAGTAGTCGCACATCCTTGCACTCTCTCCAGTGTTGTGGCTGGCACTTATTCCATTCCTGTTTATAGCATGGCCATGTTTATATTAGCTTACTGCCACTGGTTGATGATTTCAGTTTTGTTGAGTCTGAGTTGATGTTTTTATATGTATATGTTTTATTTTATTGTATTTTATATTGTATTTCATTTTTATGTTTGTTTTTGGGCACTTTGTGCTGTCTGTAAGTTGCCCCGAGTCCCTTTGGGGAGATGGTTGCTGGATACACGAATAAAGTTATTATTATTATTATTATTATTATTATTATTATTATTATTATTATCTCTAGCAGAGGGCCATAGATTTAGGGTTTTTTTTCATGAAGAAACATCCTTTTAGTTCACTTGAGTGTTGCTGTTAGTAGAGTTTGACCTTGATAATAGTGTATTTGATTTTTTTCTTGCTGCTATGAATATAAGAGGTTGGTACCCCAGTCCAATTTTATATCCCACTTGCTCTCTGTGACTGTTGTTTCCTTTGGATCCAAACCCACAGTGAGGGGCTGACTATGGAGCATCACATTATATCTGTTGGTCTCTGCTAGAATGCCACAGATAGGTTTGCCAAGCAAATTACTTCTTTGGAATGGATATATTAGTTGAGGAAATTTATGTGCCTCGAAGATACTTTTAACATTATGCTACTCAGTTTATGTAAACAAGTGTGACACTTCAGGGTGTTTTTTGTTCATTCGTTCAGTCGCTTCCGACTCTTTGTGACCTCATGGACCAGCCCACGCCAGAGCTCCCTGTTGGCCGTGGCCACCCCAGCTCCTTCAGAGTCAAGCCAGTCATTTCAAGGATGCCATCCATCCATCTTGCCCTTGGTCGGCCCCTCTTCCTTTTTGCCCAGCATCATTGTCTTATCTAAGCTTCCCTGTCTTCTCATGATGTGGCCAAAGTACTTCATTTTTACCTGTAATATCATTCCCTCCAATGAGCATACATTATACAAAAGACACACTGGGATCCTTATATTAAAACTACATATTTATTGCCCGACCAGAATGCTAAAATAACACACAAAAAACTGTCCTTTTTCTATATAAAGCAACTCGAGAAGTGCCAATTTGGAGTAGCTTGGGGTAAACTGTAGAGATGATGCAGATATTGGATCTGGATCAGGATCTTGATTCATTGTTAACAGCTGCTGATTTATTTTAACTTTGATAGTACTGTGAGTTGTGCTTGGAGAAGAAAATGATGTTGGGGAAAATGGAAGGAAAAAGGAAGAGGGGCAGACAAAGGGCAAGGTGGATGGATGGTATCCTTGAAGTGACTGGCATGACTTTGAACGAGCTGGGGGTGGCCACAGCTGACAGGGAGCTCTTTGTCAAGTGTTTTGATGTGGCCAATGGGCTAAACAATAAAATGTACTAAATGTTTAAATGTTGTGACGTTTTTATGATCTAATTGATAGTTGTATGTTATTGTTGTTTTATGTTATGTTTCATACGTATGTGAGGCATTAAATTTTGCTGTAAACATGTTGGAAACCACTTTGAGTCCCGTCCTCCCGCCCCTCAGGGTAAGAAAAGTTGTCCGTAGATGCCTCCAAGGTCATGTGGATGGCATGACTGCATTGAGCACCATTTCCTTCCTGCCAAAGCGGTACCTATTGAGCTCACATTTTCATGTTTTCAAACTGCTAGGTTGGCAGAAGCTGGGGCTAACAGCGGGAGCTCACCCCACTCACCAGATTCAAACTGCCAACCTTTTGGTCAGCAAGATCAGCAGCTTAGCGGTTTAACCTGCTGCGTCACCAAGGGACCCCTTACTCTTAAGTAGAGTGACATAAAGCAAAATCTTACTCTGTCCTGGGATAACCTAAAAGGACAGTTGAATCCCTCAACTTTCTCTAACATGGCATGCTTCTGGCCTTTTTGAATGTCTGGGTCAGGAAACTAGGTTTTTAAGAGAAAGGTTTGCCTTTGCCTCTCTCTCTGAGTCTTGCCCAAGGTCACCCAGTGGATTCCGTCAAACTGCTGCATCATGCTGGCTTTTTATCAAGAGTTTGCTGTTTTAAAATTAAATTACATGATACATTTCTTATAAAATGAAACCTGTAGAAAGAATGGACTTGGAAACATTTGGAAATCTCTTCTTTACGTTTTAGCCTGCTGTACAGCTAGATTGGAGGAAAGTCATATTAAATAATTTTTATGCTTGCTAAATACGCTAAAACAATCATTTTCGGGTTTCTTTGCCCTCAACAGCAATGTAGCAACTGAAAATATAATAAAGCAAATCACTCATTTATTTCATTTATTTATTATGTGTTGTTATCATTCAATAACAAGGTCAGGATTCGCCATGTTACAATATTTAGATTTCTCTGTGACTATGATAACTGGACAGTGGACAGAGCTGGCAGGAAGAGGGTCAACCCATCTGAAATGTGGTGCTGGAGAAGATGTCTATGGGTACTATGGATTGCCAAAAAAGACAAATGAATGGGTTCAAGATCAGTCAAGCCTGAACTCTCCCTAGATACTAAAATGATTTAACTAGGATCCATAGTAGATTAGGCATGCTATAATAAAAACTGACTCATTACAAAATACAATAAAGTTTGGTAAAGTAGAGGGCACTGTGAAAAGAGAGAGACCATCTTATGGCTGGATAGCCTCAATAAATCAAGCAATGGGCCTGAATGTACAAGATCAGAGCAAAGCTGTTGACTGGGAGGTTTCTCTTTCATAGGATCGCCATAAAAGAAAATCAGTTTGATGGCAATTAACAGCAAATCCTGCCTTTCCTCTAAAGCAGTGGTTCTCAACCTGTGGGTCCCCAGATGTTTTGGCCTTCACTCCCAGAAATCCTAACAGCTGGTAAACTGGCTGGGATTTCTGGGAGTTGTAGGCCCAAACACCAGGGGATCCACAGGTTGAGAACCACTTCTCTAAAGTGTTCAAAGTAGTCTTCTCCATTTTTGCCCCTCAACACCACTTTTTGATAGATTAGGATGAGGTGCAAATGACTGGGGTGAGGTAGAATGAAGACCTTAGCTTATCACCATGCTGTGCCTCCTTGGATCAATACAAAATGGTTAGGAATTCTTGTTCAAGATTTAGATGTAAACATGTCCCCATTTCTTGAGAAACAATCACTGAGAAATCAGGTTTTGTAGGACCAACTGGCTGTTCCTCAGAAGTGACTATATTAAGAAAGAAGATAGGAAGTAGTGACTGGCTCTGGGAACATTCTTCATGATGGAAAGCAGCAGTGGCAGCTTGTGAATTGTTTCCTTCCTGTCCTATGCCCTTGTCCTTCTTCTCAAATGCCTCAAAGCATCTGTTGCTCCCAGTGCTTCCCATACACAGTGTTTCCTCCAATCTGTCATCTATCAGCCACCTCCTGCCAAACAATCCAAACATACAAACGTCAAGTTGGTAAGGTCCTGTTGTGTAAGCCAGAGTGCTGGCAGCAAGGAACAGATGGAACCAAGAGGCATTATATTAAGATATCTCCACCCCCATCTCTGTAGTTTAAGGAATAATGACATAGATCAAGCAGGGGAATTTTACTTGCAAAGCCTGGCTGAAGATTTTGGGATTTCATACTGGGTTTTGAAATATTTGACTTCAGGACTCACAGGATTGTAATCACATGTTTGTTCTTTTGTTTGTGTAGGAACATGGCTCCAAAGATTACTACAGATCTGCTTCGACAGCTTCGGCAAGCAATGAAAAACTCCAGATATGTTCCAGAGCCAATCCAAGCCTACATTGTACCTTCTGGAGATGCGCATCAGGTGTGGTCTTTGGTAGAAATGTCTTTTGAAAAGAACTGTGCAAAGATTCTAATCGGAAATATCCCTTGCGATAGTAGGATCATCTAAAAGAGAATCCAATTCTTTCCCAGGTTAAGATGTATTGCATTGTTTACTTCTGATACACTGCTGCATTCGAACACCTAAAGCCTGTCTTTCTCTAGCTTCCTTCACTATCCTTCTAAGCCAGTTCTGCAAAAAACAAAAACAAAACTTCAAACTAAAAAGAAGACAAGAAACAATGGGCCTGGGTTGGGCTCTTGTAAAAAGGAGTCTCTTTGTCAGAGGCTTTGTTAACTGAGGTATATCTGGGGCAAAACACACAAGACAATCAGTTAGCAAATGCTGTACAGGATCTTTAAAAATGATGACATTATTTCATAAACAACATACACTCTGAAAAGAGTGTAGGTAGAAAGGTGATTAGAAATACAAAAGTGGAATGAGAATGGGAAAGAAGGCAAAAGACATAGAAAAGTGCATTTACAATACCACCCCTGTATCCATGCGACCAGTATCTGTGATTTTTTTAAATCAGTGTCTGACAAATTGACATTTTCTCTGTCCTTCAGTGTTATTTATTTATATTCCGCCCTATCTCCCCGAGGGGACTCAGGGCGGATTCCAATAACAAAATGTCTGAAACAACAATAAATACAAATACAATAATAAATTCTGTAGTCAATGAAAACGCACAAATCAAAACAATATAAATTAACATCAATAAACTTATATTGACAAGAACCCAAAATAAACCAACATATACCGGAACAAACCCACACATACCAATATAAACCCACATATGACCAAATTATAACATACAACCTAAAATTAAATTATATCAACATAAAAACATGAACCTCAATTCACAGATATAAGGCAATGTAGATCCAACCTTTTATTCACCATCCTGGTTTGGACCAGGGTTTGGGTCATACCTCTGGCATTGGCCTGTACTCACTAGAACTGAAGGAAAGAGAGGCCATGGACCCAACATGAGATAGAGCTGTTTTTCAAGGAGTGGTTGTTCACCAGTCTATGCTTTCCCTGTATTCAAAGCTGCATCTTGATGCCTCTTAATGCAGTAATGAAGAATTGCATTTTATTGGGATGTTATAATAGCAGTGATTTGAGGAAAATGACCGTTTTGAGCTATGATTCTCAGAATCTCAAAACCAGTATCTTTCCTACTTGCAGATTTATTTGCTCTCCTCTTTAGGTTCTTCTGGGTGGAGGACTTCACTAGTCTTCTTTCGACTTTAAACTCACCATAGATTAGTGACATTCACATAGCACATAGTTAAATATCACATAGTTAAGTCGAAATTTGCAACCATGGAATGTAATAATGACTATCAACATTTACATTCACAAAGGACGAGGCCCTTGGCAGATAATGTGGGATTTTATTCAGCTATGTGGAAGGGGCCATAGTCTCTTCTATTTGCAGCGTTGATCATAAAAAGGTATGGCCACTTACTATTCCCCCTCCTTTTTTAAAAAAATCCTCCCTCCCAATGTTAAAAACCACATAAGGAGGGAATGCTTCTGGAACATGGCCATACAACCCAGAAAACTCACAACAACCCAGCAATTCCTTGCCATGAAAGTCTCTGACAATACATTACACCTTAGGAGTCAGATTGTGTTCTAAAATGGAATTACCCCCTTAGAGATGTCTAGGGAGCATAATGCCTTGGGGGCAACATTTTAAAGATGTTTGGGAGGTATGACCTTCCAAAGCCTTGGAGGCTTAAATAGTCTTAGGATACTTGGAGGCTGACCATCTCTGATTATGAAGAAGAGAACTGTATCAGTTGGACCTCAATACTGTGTCAATTCTCTCTCCCCACCCCAATTAATTAATTTATAATCTTGTCTAGACACCTTTGTGGGTGTGTGTGAGCATAGAACTGGCTTCCTTAGCATCTCTGTCTATGCAAAGAACATTGCCTCCATTTGTTGCTACAGTGCATTCATTACCTTAACGTATGTATCACTGCTAATTCCACTCTCAGGTGCTAGAGAGAAGGTTTTTTTTTCTTTGATTGTTGTTGCAGCTGATACATGTTGTTTTTCCTCTTGCCCAAGGCATCTGTTTCTCTGCAGCTCTGGTTACACTTGGCAAAGCTTTTTACATGTTTCTGTTAACTCTGGAATAGCACCTGCAAGATTCTTTACTTTATTTGAGGAATGCAGTAGTGCAGACACATTATGCTATGCTTTTCCTGCTGGTACAGTTCATCGGGTTCATTTTTTTATGTGCAGAGACTTGAATTAACCCAATAATTGCTTGTGTATCTGCTAGATAACTTCCATGATTCTATCACATTGAGCCATGGTAGTTAAAGTGGTGTCACACTGCATTAGTTCTACAGTGTAGATGCAGCCTTGGTCATGAAGTTCAGATGGAGGCATCCAGCCAGTCATTATCTCTCAGTTATTGTGGAGACAACCCCCTAAATTCCTTGTATAAAAATATAATGATGAATAAATGCATCAGTGGTGTATTTTCTTTTCCATTACAGTCTTATATTGGTTTCAGTTAGCGGTAAAATAGGTTTAGACAAGGGCAGGCAGCTGTGTGGAGGCTGAGGGTGAATTTCCCCACAGATTATCCCACGGACTCACCTCTAGCAAACTCAAATTTTCTTTTACGGCCTCTCTCAAAATTGCAAAAGAATGTAGCCATTTTGAGAATCATAGAACCATAGAGTGGGAAGAGACCTCATGGGCCATCAAGTCCAACCTCCTGCCAAGAAGCAGGAAAATCACATTCAAAGCACCCCCGAAGGATGGCCATCTAGCCTCTGCTTAAAAGCCTCCAAAGGAGGAGCCTCCACTAAATTCTGCAGCACAAAGTCCCACTGCTGATCAACTCTCACAGCTAGGAAGTTCTTTCTAATGTTCAGGTGCCATCTCCTTTCCTGTAGTTTGAAGCCATTGTTCCATGTCCTGGTCTTGAGGGCAGTGGAAAACAAGCCTGCTCCCTCCTCCCTATGATTTCCCCTCACATATTTATACATGGCTCTCATAATGTCTCCTCTCAGCCTTCTCTTCTGCAGGCAAAACATGCCCAGCTCTTTAAGCTGCTCCTCATAGGGCTTGTTCTCCAGACCCTTGATCATTTTAGTTGCCCTCTTCTGGACACATTCCAGCTTGTCAACATCTCCCTTGAATTGTGGTGCCCAGAATCAGACACAGTGTGATTCCAGGTGTGGTCTGACCAAGGCAGGATAGAGGGTAGCATGACTTCCCTGGATCTGGACACTATACGCCTATTTATGCAGGCCAAAATCCCATTGGCTTTTTTTGCTCCCACAGTACATTGTTGGCTCATGCTTCACTTGTTGTCCATGAGGACTCCAAAATATTTTTCACACGTACTGCTGTTGAGCCAGGTGTCCCCCATTCTGTATCTTTGCATTTCATTTTTTTCTTTCTCTTTCTCCTTAACTTGTCTAAGATTTTTTATGATGCTGATTATTCAATTTTGTTTTACACATTTAAAATTGGTTATGTACAAATACTAACCATAATTACTGCTAAACATAATTGATGTCAATGATGGGTCTTTTCACACAATTAACTATAGCACTGTGATTCTACCTCATCCAACAAGGCATCATGTGATGGACTCTTAGTGTTTGCAGTTTGATGAGGCACAGGACTTCTCTGGCTGAGAATTCTTGACTCTTAAAATGCAAATCCCAGGATGCCTTAGGATGTTACCATGATAGTTATAGTTGAATCAGAGTGCTACAGTGCTAGTGTGAAAGGACTCTAGAACTCCCATCTGAAATAAGAATTCAATCTGATTTTTAGGTATTAGTTGTTGTTTATTCATTCAGTTGCTTCTGACTCTTCATGACCTCATGGACCAGCCCATGCCAGAGCACCCTGTTGGCCGTGGCCACGCCCAGCTCCTTCAAGATCAAGCCAGTCACTTCAAGGATACCATCCATCCACCTTGCCCTTGGTTGGCCCCTCTTCCTTTTTCCTTTCATTTTCCCTATCATCATTATCTTCTCCAAGCTTTCCTGTCTTCTCATTATGTGGCCAAAGTACTTCATCTTTGTTTCTAATATCCTTCCCTCCAGTGAACAGTCAGGTTTTATTTCCTGGAGTATGGACTGGTTTGATCTTCTTGTGGGCCAAGGCACTCTCAGAATTTTCCTCCAACACCACTTCAAAAACGTCTATCTTCCTTGGAGGCATTAGTTTTGAATGATTTATTTCTCATACCATGTAGATTCTGAATTTTCTTGTAATATTCATGCAACACACTTTCATGTTGCAGCCCACACACTAATGTGTTGCAACACACAGTTTGGAAAGCTCTGGTTTAGAGCAGTGATGATTTCTAGAGATGTGTATACCTTTTTAGAATGTAGATGAAAAAATGTAGGTAATAAACAGTAACAGAAATGTCTAAGTGGGAATCTCTTTGGGTGAGGCATGTTTTTAAATGTTCATGTAAAATCCAGTTAGAGGATGTCGGTAAGCCAAGCAAAGTTCACAGATCTAAGCTCCCATTTTGCAACTGGCAAGATCAGAGGATAGGAGAGGATTTCTTTTGCTCATGTTGCCACATCAAAGGCTTGGCTTGTTTATCCAGCCAGTGCTGTAACCAAAAGTGAAATAAACATGAACACTTTGGGAAACGTTGGAGTAAAAGGCAGTGTAAGAAAAAGAAAATTTTGTGTGGAAGCTAAGAAGTGGAAGAACTCGATTCTTAATGATATTCTGATGAAAAATTTGTCAAGATTTTAAAATATTTCCCCCCCTTAAACAGTCTGAAATAACACAAGTAGAAAAGAACTAATTTTGGGCTGTATGATTTCACTCCTTTTTTTGCTTCTCTGCTGTTGTTCCTCATCATTCTTATTTCTTGCTTCTTTTAAATGTTTCCCCAGAGTGAATACATTGCACCTTGTGACTGTAGAAGAGAGTTCATTTGCGGGTTTGACGGCTCAGCAGGTATGTTTCCAGAACTGTATTTGACCCATCAAATTTGGCAGCTCCTTCAGCTGTGAATGCCAAGCCACTCTTCAGGCTGTTTTTGCTGTGCTTTATTTTTATTTTTAAATCCAGTCTAGATATTTTAACTATTTTAATTCTCCTTTCTTGTGGGAAGGAGTTTGCCCAAGTTTATCTCTGCAGAGGCAGAAGTTTGTAGATCACTGCTCACAAAACACAATTTAAAGCAGATATACTAGTTTCTCTAGATTAGTCCCATTTCAGAATTGCAGCTGAAAGATCAAATGTGTGCAGACTCCCCACAGAAAATGCTCCCCACATGCAAGCTATTTGTGTTGCTAGGCACTCAGATATTTGATCCCCTGCCTTCTGTCTGAAATGGCTGAGTCCAACAATAGATACAGTAGGAAAGCCTACTGCTCATCTTGAAATGAGCAACCCCAGGTACTGATTGTAAAATAAATCTCCTGAACTTCACAACTGACAACATGCCTCCTTTGTTATTTTTGTGTCAAAATGTCATGGGAGCAGCAACTCTGTATTGGTTGATCTGCTCATTGCCCTGAATCCTCTAGACCAGTGGTTCCCAACCTTTGGTCCTCCAGGTGTTTTGGACTTCAACTCCCAGAAATCCCAGCACTCTTACCAATTGTTGGAAATTGTGAGAGCTGAAGTCCAAAACGCCTGGAGGACCAAAGGTTGGGAGCCAATACTCTAAACTGTCACTCTGATGCTGCTTCCAAAAAAATTCAGTGCTGCGTTATATTCCACAACCCATATCTTCATTGTATCTTGCTTTGTTATGGTGCTACATCTCATGCCTTGAACGATATGAGAGCCTACATAGATCTTTATTTCTCCAAGCCACTTGGACGCTTTCAATGTGTTCCTGCTTCTAAAGTCGACGCCACCCACCCCACCCTTACAGTGCAGTTGTGTCACATATTTATTCAAAATTATGTTAAGTGGAACCTAAGATAAGTGCTCATGGGATTTTGCCTTGCAGGGAAATTCTATACATGCCTCCTTAGGAGTCAACCCAATTAAATTTATTGGGACTTACTTGGGGATGAATGTCATAATTAGACATAATTTCACAGCTTTGTCTCAGGGATTTTGTTTTTCATCTTTGGAGATAGATGCTGAAAGTCAGGCTCTTTGTATTTTTATATACTAGGAGAGAGAATTGGTAGTCCAAACAACCTGGCTGCTACTGACTATAATTTTTAAGGGTGTGAAGCCAGTCTCTTCTTGTAGAATAGGTAGTTTGCTCAGATGCATTTGTTTAATTGTGTGTCCTCAAATTGTTTCAACCCTGGCGATCAATGCGGTAACAGATGTTGCAGCCAGATCGCCCTCACATCGAGTTGTTTCTGACCTATGCAGATCCTAAGATGAAGCCACCATGGAGTTTTCTTGGCAAGATTTGTTCAGAAAGGGTTTGCTTTTTAATTCCTATGAGGTTGGGAGACTATGACTTCTCCCAAGGTCTCCCAATTTATTTCCATGGGCCAATAGGAATTTGAATCCTAGTCTCAAGAATCTGGTTCCAGGTTTAGACCTGAGGCTAAATCCAACATTAGAGTGGTCCTTCCAGTTTTGTGAGTTTCACACTTGCACTTTCAATTATTCACAAGGTAGTGCCACCGCCACCACCTCCTGAATTTAGGGATTTTTTTTTCTTGTCAGGAGCGACTTGAGAAACTGCAAGTTGCTTCTGGTGTGAGAGAATTGGCTTCTAATAGCACAGATATCTCTATATATTGAGAAAAAACAAATTTTTACTGCTGTAAGCACTGATTATAAATGGTTCTTAAGTATGTAAACATCAGTTGGTTAAGTCGCATTAAACTGATGTTTACATACTTAAGAACCATTTATAATCATTGCTTACAGTGAGAAAATTGGCTGTCTGCAAGGACGTTGCCCAGGGGACGCCCGGATGTTAGGGCTGCCATGCTAACATTCCTCAGGAGTGTTTAGTATTTGGGCATACCATGTGTTTGTGTTTCACCTGATACTTTCCTTCCTTTGCTGGAGCAAAACAGACACCTGTGGCACACAGGAAAAGGAGGAGCTGGCCTCTACATCACTCCGCATACCCCATGATTTAATTTCATCTTCCTCTTCTATGTTCTGCAAATGTCTGTTTTGCCTGTGGAAAAGAAGGGAGGTACCCATGGCACACAGGAAGAGGAGTCATCGTTGGATTTTCTAATTTGGAGGGGGAACTGCGCCTGTAACCCTTGTGAAAGTGGAGGGAGAACTCTAGTCTTATTTTGAATAGACCCATTGAAATGAGTGGGATTAGTTGTTAGTCACAACTATCTCAAGTAGTAACAACTAATCTTTAGAATGTTTCATAATATCGTCTCTTCCCTCAAGTGTATTGCAGTGTTGCTAAGGATTTTCACTCCTTTCTGGGGTTTCTCCGTGAGCACGAGTGTGTGGGTGGCAGCTCACTTCTAACAAATTGCTGGGTAGAAAGAGCAAGGTTTGATTGTCCTTTCCCTTTTGTGCAATCTACACCAGCTGGAATGGTGATGTAATGTCAGTAGAGTAATGAGCTTTTCTCGACCCCCAGATGACCCTCCAGTACAGTAAAAATCTTAACCATTTCATCCAGCGATTACAGCTTTCCTTTCTCTCTCTACGAGGCCAATCAAAACAGATTGCTTGCAGCCCTGGCATATCTGGAATTAGCAGTGAATGTTGTTGGTTATCCAAAGGCAATTGTCTTTCAGGAAAAAAAACCAACAATATATTTTTGGCATCTAAAATCTGTTCATGTCAAACCTCAATTAGTAGTGTATGGTGGAAACCTTTGTTTATCTTGTATGGAGACAAGATGTTCTCTTTAGCAACCACACGTCCTATGATTTCGAATGTGAAACTGCAGCTAAAAGATGCACGTTTCATTTTAAGCTGTGCCACCGATTAACAGAGGCATTGTCAGGTTACCTACTGTGTGAAAGTCCTGTTTGTCCCTTATGGTAAAATGGAAATTAACAAGTTGTTAAGACCAGGTGTAAACGTGCCTAACTATGAATACAATGATTTGTTAATGGCCTAAAAAGCAAGGAGCCAAGTTGATCTTTTAGGCCACCTGGCTTAACTGTGTGTGCCTTTTATGCTGTCCAAACAAATAGCATTTGTTTTGCACGGTGCTTGTGTTTTGATCCTACATGACTGTCTTGACCCTTTTGATCAGATCTGCTTCCTGGCTTGTGTACAATGTCGGTTGCTGCTGATATACACAAGCAGATTTTTCTCTCACATGAGCATATTTTTCAGATATCCTGGATCAGTTAAGACTAAATAGTTTTAAATTCATGTCTTTTCTTTTTTTAAAAAAAATATCAGGAATTTTAAAGAGTTTTTTAAAAAGTTTTTTTAAGGAGGGCAAACTATTTTAAAAATCATTTCACTGATGACATGTGCTATCCTACTTTTAATGTTCAGGGGTGAAAGAGTTTTTATGCCAGGCCTATACTGAAAAGTAATGTAACTTTTGACACTGTAACAATAAAACTAGGGGACGTTAGTTTTATAACTCCCAAAGTCTTCCAGCCAGCAAGATTAGTGGCAATTTTCACTTGGAGATAGTGGGAATTGTAGCCCAAAAATTGTAGCAATTCTTGATATTTGTAGTTTGTCTTCAGTTCTCATTTAGTGAGAAACAACTTTGATACACACAATATCAAGTAGAGCGCAGCATAGTCAGTGCAATATGAGCTTGTGGTAAGAACAAGAGAAATTTCTCAGGATGCTCTTATATGGTGAAAAGGAAAAAAAACCCATACATTTTTTAAGAAGCCCTCCTTGGGATAGGAATGGAGATACACAAAAGAAGATTACATAAACTTCAATATGAAAACCTCTAAGGTTGCTTATATCAACCTCTAAGATGTTGACTAGTGCTCATCCTGAAGAGGTAGCTTTATGGATGTTCCCATCCCAGGCAAAGGGAGACAAAGGACTAACTATGTTTTGGGGAAGGGATAAGTGACCTCAGGTGAAATGAAAAGCTTTTAGGCGCACACATACATACAACCAAAACTAAATTAGAGAGATGAAACAAAAAGGTAGGCATGCTCTATAGAGACCCCCTTTCACTAATCACTCTCTAAGTTTCCAATAAAAGTAACTTTTCCAAGTCCCAGTACTGTATTCCTGGTAAGGATAAGCGTAAAACTAGTAAAGTAAAATGTATTGTTGAAGGCTTCCATGGCCGGAATCACTGGGTTTTTGTAGGTTTTTCCGGGCTATATGGCCATGTTCTGGAGGCAATTTTTCTCCTGATGTTTCGCCTGCATCTATGGCAAGCATCCTCAGAGGTTGTGAGGTCACTACCTCTGAGGATGCTTGCCATAGATGCAGGCGAAACGTCAGGAGAAAAATTGCCTCCAGAACATGGCCATATAGCCTGGAAAAACCTACAACAACCCAGTAAAGTAAAAGTTTTCCCTGACATTAAGTCTAGTTGTGTCTGACTCTGGGGGAATGGTGCTCATCTCCATTTCTAAGCCGAAGACCATTCCTATATATTTTCTTCATGATGCCAACCACCTGTTTTACTTGTGTTTCTTGACAGGAACTGCCATTATTACAGAGCAACATGCAGCCATGTGGACCGATGGACGGTACTTTCTGCAAGGTGCCCAGCAAATGGATAGCAACTGGACGCTCATGAAGATGGGTGTGTGGCAAGTCCAAACTAGTGGTTTACTTTACCTCACTCGAACAGTGATTTAATTAAGCACTCAGGATCCTTAATTCATTCATATGTGTGTTTTCTCTCCTGATAAAATGAAGGATATTGCTTTTTAAAGAGGTTTTGCAGTGTTCCTTTGTGTGAAGATGGATAGGCATAGGGCCTATTTTCTGTCTTGTTTTTAGCATTGTTAACTGCTGCAGAAAGAAAAAAACAGCTTAGAAATAAATATTGTTGTCACCTTCACCACCATCATCATTATCATCCCTTCCCAGCATGGTTTCACCTATCAATGGGAAAACAGTTATTTTCATCTAGGAAGCAAAAAATCACATTCAGCAAACTTCACTGAACAAGGTACTTCTGTGGAAAATTATGCTAATGTGGCAACTTATGGCCATCCAAATTATGAGGTATGTCAGTACCCATCCTCCCCCACCAGTGACTTTGTTGCCCTGGGCTGAAACAACATCTGGATTTATATCTGTAAAAGTGGAGGTCCAACTGTACTTAAATTTCTGTGAATGGTGCAAAGTTAATACATACCTTCAATCAGAAATACATACCTGTCTTCACTGGATTGCAGCAGGCTGACAGACAGCCACTCCTTAATGATGTAGAAATTCTCTGGCCCTCCTTTGCAGTGATTTGTTCAAAGGCAGAGATATTTTGCATTAGGGTAGAGGAGAGCCAGGCCTAACTTTGTCTGCAGTGCAGATCCAGAGAATCATCCAAAGTGCAATAATAACCAGAGCCACATTTGAAGTTCCCAAAATGTGTTCTGTAGAACCCTAGGGTTCTCCAAAAGCATCATAGGGGTTCTGTGAAAATCCTTTAAAATGTTTAAAACATCTTTTTTTTTTAAAAAAGACATGTACCAGAACGAAGATCTTACTGAAATTCAATGTACCTCTACTTTAAAAATGAAATTTTAATTTATTTATTTTCAAACCTACTATATTATACAAAATACCCAAGCAATAGGAGTAGATGAAAAAAAAGAAGGATTTGAGAGTTTGCAATGCTTAGAGACAGAGTTATGGTTCTGCAGGAAAATCAGGGACAGAGCTAGTGTTCCACATGTAAAGAGTCTTCCATGACCAAAAAAGTTAGGGAACTGCTGGTCTAGAGGAGTGCTACTCATAACGGTGCCCCCTAGAGCAATGATGTTTCCTTAGCCATTGGCTGCTAGTCCCTGATGAGTTCCAGAAAGGAGAAAAGTAATTGTCTTGAATGAGCACATGGGCCCTGCTGGCCCTTGATACGGTTGCCATAAGGTGAAGTTTTGAAGGCACATAACAAGAGCAGGAGCCCCCGGTGGCGCAGTGGGTTAAATCCCTGTGCCGGCAGGATTGAAGACCGACAGGTCGCAGGTTTGAATCCGGGGAGAGGCGGATGAGCTCCCTCTATCAGCTCCAGCTCCAGCTCCTTATGCGGGGACATGAGAGAAGCCTCCCACAAGAATGATAAAACATCAAATCATCTGGGTGTCCCCTGGGCAACATCCTTGCAGATGGTCAATTCTCTCACACCAGAAGCGACTTACAGTTTCTCAGGTCGCTCCTGACACGACCAAAATAATAATAATAACAAGAGCAACACAAATATAGGTAAAGACCAAGGACTTGAAAGGGATGAAATATAAAAGCCTTGTATTATATTCCTCTTCTTACTCTGAATCACAAATCATTTGAGCCACCAAAAAGCTGGCACTGAAGGCAGCAAAACTAAAGCTTAGGGAATGTATGGCTGAGTTCCCAGATTTGCATCATGTTTTCACTTTCCTGATTTGGACTCTATTTCACAATTAGTTTCCTTGAGTCACCTTGAGTGCTGTAGCTCCCTCTGTCACTCTTGTCCTCTAATAACTTACAGCTACTGCTTCAATAAGGCGATGGCTGTTTATCTTATTTCCTGCTTCCTGGTCTGAACAGGAAAAGTTGTGGTGTGGAATGGCCAGTGGAAGAAGGAAAGGTAGATGTAGTGGTGGGGTCTTAATCGATGGAAGTAAATACAGGCAGTCCCTGAGTTACAAACATCAAACTTACAAAAAAATCATAGTTAAGAACAGGGTGTTGTTTTTTTGTGTGTGTCAGGAGTGACTTGATATTGTGGATTTTGGTAGTCTCAGGAGCGACTTGAGAAACTGCAAGTCGTTTTTGGTGTGAGAGAATTGGCCGCCTGCAAGGATGTTTTGATGTTTAACCAGGGGACGCCAGGATGTTTTGATGTTTAACCATCCTTATTGGAGTCTTCTCTCATGTCCTTGCATGAGGAGCTGGAGTAGACAGAGGGAGCTCATCTGTGCTCTTTCCAGATTCGAACCTGCGACCTATCGGTCTTCAGTCCTGCCGGCACAAGGGTTTAACTCACTGCAGCACCAGGGGCTCCAAGAACAGGGGTGAGACAACAGGAAGGGAGAGAAATCTGACTCTAGGAAGGGAAATTCACTCGTGAAAGAGTTATCATGGGGAAAGCTGTCTAAACTGAGGCTTTTTCCCCAATCCTTGTTTCTACAACAATCCAATTTTTTCAAAATCCAATTATCATGGGGCCAGAAAGTGAGATTAAATTTTCTGAACAGGGGCACAGGAAGCAAATAAATGCCACAGGGGTGTTAAACCTTCCCTATACTATCCAAATCTTGTGTGTATGTGTGTGTGTGAGTGTGCACCTAAAAATGTACCTGTTCCAACTTACAAACAAATTCAACTTAAGAACAAACTTACAGAATCTGTTTGTAACTAGAGGACGGCCCATAAAACATTTGTTCACAGGGTTGCTGTGAGTTTTCTGGGCTATGGCAGGAATCCTCAGAGGCTATGAGGTCTGTTGGAAACTAGGCAAGTGGGGTTTATAAATCTGTGGAATGGCCAGGGTGGGAGAAACGTCAGGAGGGAATACTTCTGGAACATGGCTATACAGCTGTTGGGGATTCCTCATCGTCAGAAGAGGAAGGGGAGCAGGAAGGTGCTCAGGTCTTGGAGGGTGAGGAAGAAGAATCCGACAGTGAGGTTTTGCAGGTGCCTACTTTTTTAGAAACTGCAAATTTACCTGAGAGACCATCTCTCTAGAAATCATTAGGCTTTCCAGTCCATCTCGATAGTCAAATGTAACCATAAATTGACCATAGAATTTCATTACAGGACTAGAGATTCCTTGTTTATTAAATCCATGAATAATCAAATCTACAAAAATTCAACCCAGAAATGTAGAGGACAAGGAATCAGTGTAGACAAGAAAAACAAATTAAATGACTAATTCCCAGATCTTTTGCTCTTGGAGATAGGAGTAACCATAGCTCAGGGTTGGAAAACAGGTGTTCTATTTGGAACAGTTCTAGGGACATTGTTAAGCAAAGCTGGCAATATCCTGAGATTTTGAGTGACACTTCTTAGCAAGACTAGGTGACTTTGGTCGATCTACATAAGACATTCCCATCCTTTTCCAAGGTATTTATTTATTTATTTCCAACATTTCTATCTCGTCCTTTTCAACCCCCGAGGGGGGACTCAGGATGGCTCACAACCGGCAACAATTCGATGCCGCAACATAAGACAAATATAAACAAATGTTTATATTTATAAATAGAACATAAAGTTTAAAACAAGTTAAAATTGTTATCAAACCATACAGCCAGTTCCAGTCCGATTCAACGTCCAAAGTGCTGATGGTAGGCATGATGGTAGAGAATGGTGAGGAATGTTTGGAGTTGTACTATCTATTCAGCATTGTATCAAGCTTAATAGTTAATTTAGCTTAAAACTGGGAGTGCTTGCATGGAACAAGAAAAGGAGAGATGCCAAGTAGCATTTAATTTTGCAGTAAGAGGAGCCAGTCTAGTTGTCTGCTTTCATGGCGAGGGGATACAGTGGTGAGGAGTCATCGTTTTTAGATCATCTTTTTTGAAGTGGTCTGTTTGGTTTCCCTTGGACCTGAGAGCATATTTACTTCACTTTATGATAGATATTATAATGGTTCCCTGTCACCTCACTGTCATGGCCTACTTGTCTGCATTCCTTTCTTCAATCTAAGAGGCATTTACCACATTCCTTTCCATCTTCAGGTCTGAAGGACACTCCCACACAGGAGGACTGGCTTGTCAGTGTGCTTCCCGAGGGCTCCAGAGTTGGAGTAGACCCATTCATTATCCCAGCAGGTTAGTTTGCTAATATTCTTAATTGCATGAATGAATCAACTCTTCAGTTTTGCATTATCAGGTGCTGGGCAATTCTCTGGGGGGTCAGAGGAAGTTTTCTCAGACTCCTAGGCTGCACCCTTCCGTAGTTAGCTCAAATATATCTGATTTTTTTCTGTATAGTAGTTCTTCTCAAAGCACCATTTCCCTCTCAGAAAATGATGTTGAAGCATCTGGAGGGACCCAGCTAAAATATGACTTTATTAACACAGTTAATACAGAATCATGATCAGTTTGGGGGGGGGGGCGGTCTCAGCAACATTATTTCGATGTATCTGTTTGTTTATTTCAGATCAATGGAAGAGGATGTCCAAAGTTTTGAAAAGTGCTGGGCATGCTCTCTTGCCAGTGAAGGACAATCTCATTGATGCCATCTGGGCAGATCGACCACCACGGCCTTGCAAACCTCTGATAACCCTGAGCTTGAACTACACAGGTAAACAGGATGACAAAATGATGTTGTCCTTCAAGATGATGAGGACACGTGAGAAAAAAATGAAAGCAGAGTGATCTCTTAATATCTGCACAAAGGCATGACATCTGTTGGGCATTTTGTGTTAGGCAAAGGTGAATGGCCCTTTCGTGTAGCAATAGCTACTCTGGGATCTTCACCTTAATTGAGTGCCATTTATTGTGTGTTGCAGGGATGAGTTGGAAGGACAAGATCACATCTCTGCGGGGGAAAATGGCTGAGAGGAAAGCTCTGTGGTTTGTGGTGACAGCCTTGGATGAAGTGGCATGTGAGTATGCATATCAGTCTGGTTTCTGTGGCGTTGTCTGTTTCAGGTTGTTGATCTCTGTGTGGTTGGAAATGAGCAATGTAGCGGCCTGCATAAAAGTCTGTTAAAATGGCAAGTCGTAAGAGTATGAGAACACAAGGAAAGTTATAATGGAACAGGGCGAAGGTCTACCTAGTCTAGTGTTCTCATTTCTATAGTCGCCAATCAAGCTGTTCTCTCTCTTATTCAACCCTCAAACTGTTATCAAGAGGAATGCTGCTTCTGGTGCTGTGGAGACAATATATTGTCATCATGAATAGTGGCCATTGATAGCCTTATCTTGCATACTGTTCTTTCAGTGAAGGTTTGCATTTACTACTTTCTTTGAAATCTGAAGACTTAGAGGAGTTGGCTGTTCATGTCTAAACCTGGATCATTTCACTGAAAGTTAGACAGTTGGCTGCCCTCCTTGTAACTTAACTGTTAACTATTCTTCATGCAGGATGGTTGGATAAGTCAGCTGCTACCCTGCGTTGTGGGCCGAGCCAGCAAAATCTATTTTTGAACTGATCGTTTTTGCTGGAAGATTGTGGGAGTTATGGTCCAAAAAAGTAACTTTTCCAAATTCTTTTTGTGTGTAATGACAAATAGCACCCATATTTCTAATAGTTGTATAGAATAGGGATTTTGAGATGGTGTTGCTTCATACCTAGTTGTGTAACAAGCAACACCTACTGAAAAATATATCATTTTAACAAAACTTTGTTTCAATGTATAGTAGAACAACGTGAGGCATGAGACAGCATTTGAAACATGTATTAGTCCTCCTGTACAATTTCCTAAGGCTACAGCTTGTAACTATGACATTAGCTAAATGTTTTAAATGCAGTGGGCCCCTCTGACTCTGCAGGGATTTGGTTCTGTGACCAAAAAGCACATGATTGTTTTACATATTATTAAATGGCAGTGATGTGTGCGCAGAACCTTCAGTATGTCCATGCTTGAAACTGTGAAAGTAGCTAATTGCTATAGATGCAGTGGATCCTCTGACTCTGCAAGGATTTGTTTCTATGACCAAAAAGCATATTGTGTCACATATTATTAAATGGCAGTGATGTGTCTGCAGAAGTTTCAGTATGTCCATGTTCAAACTGCTGCCACTTTATGTATAGGTTATAATGATCCATGGTTGGTGGAAATCATGGACCCAGAGCCCATAAATCTACAGTACACTCAAAAATTGTATATATTGTGTATACTGTATATTGTATTCAGTAGTACTTAATGCAGTATAGGAAACAGTTACAGTGCATCACATCTGTATATTGTACTATTGGACATAAGGGTTAATTTAAGTGGTTAGTTCCAAACTCTGCAAATCACTCACTGCCTTTTAGTTTGAGTCCTTACTTCATTAAATGTCTTTTATTAGATGAAGTCACCCAGGGAGTTTTTAACCTTGGAAGGAGTTGAATTCTTGCCCAGATAACAAAATTGCTCTGTCTGTTGTCTATTTCCCTGTTTCAGGGCTAGAAGAAAATGCTCCAGTACCTCTCATTGGTTACAAAGTCCACAGTTCTGCCAAAACTGAGAGATGGAAGCTAATTTCTGTTGTGTAGAAAACACATTTCCAAAGTGCCCTTAGAACCAAGCCCTGTGTAAAACTGGGTCCCCAAATATGAAATTTGTCCTTTTAATTGTCCCTTATTTGTCAGAAAGGATTATGTTTTCCTCCTCCAGCATGAGAAGCATTTAATTTCTTTGACAAATGACTTCTAGTCTTCCTGCATATGCCTTTTGTGACTCTTTGCCACTATAGTTTTCTGTTTCATTTTGAGGGTCAACTCTTTTTTTGTTGTTGTTGCCAATATTGGCTTCACAAATGCAGACTTCCATAACTGGTAAAATCTAGACAGAGTGCAAGCAAGGTTTATAAGAGATCTTCTAAATGTGTCTTCTTGTGTATCAAATACAGTCTTTCTCCTAGAAACGGATGACTGTCCCTTGAGTAGCAAGGCCTAGACTCTCAAATGAACCTATAGTTAAAAACAATGGGATTTAAACTGTGAACAGGTTTACTACATCACATCCCCTATGAAGCCTCCAAACCCCTTTGGGCAAGGAGGATTGAAAGGAAAGTGGCCTCAGTTGGACTACCCACATCCCTTTTGTTCCGGGAAAGCTCAAATCTCCCATGTTCCCCCAGAGTGCTCAACTTGCTATACAGAGAGCCATTTAAGACATACGTATACCTTAAAAGTCTTACAGTGATAAAGTATAGAAGATTCTTTACAAAGGTGAGATTAAATGTATTTCCCTCCGAGCTGCTAAGAGGCAGATTGTCTGGAACTCCTTACTCCCAAAAACTATGCCCATGTGGAGGAAATGAAGTAGAAACAATAGGACATATTTTATTTTGGACAATTAGATGGGATAATTTTAATGACTGTTCACTGATGGGTTTGTGGACTGTAATAAATTGTTGAACTGGTAAAACATGTTTTTAAAAATCAGTCTTTGTTGTTATTTGTCTTCATGTCTCTGACTTAACTGCAATCCTAAGGTGAACCTATAATGATTTTATTTTTGGTAAGATTTGTCCATGGGAGTTTGCCTTTCTTCATCTTCTGAGGATTAGACCCAATCTACCCTGATTTAATATAGTTTCAAACTGGTATTAAAGAAACTGGTTCCATAGGAAATTCTGGAACCAGCTTGGGGTCCAAATGATGATTGCACAAATTGCAGAGCACTATGTGCTTTTTTCACATGCTTTTGTGGGAGTTTTTTTTTTTTGTCTAACTGTCACAAACTAGTTTCAAACTGCATCAAATAGTCAGTGTAGATTTGCCTATGGACACCTACTGGGCTTCCATTCCTGAGTGGTGTTTCGAACCCTGGTCTTTCAGTGTCTTAGTCCAAAATCCAGACCCTCCTATGTACCACAATTCTTGATTTCACCAATTCTTGCATTTGTGTGAAGAAAGATAACATATGAACTGTTGTTTCGCAGCCATTACTCATACATTTGGCAACAGTAGTTCTTTTGGCTTTGGGGAGTTGCTACAATTTCGTTTGCCAGTTATATGTTTACAAAGAAAATATACACACTGTTACATGTTACCTCATTCTTGGTGACCATGCTCATGAGCACATGTTTTGTAGTGAATGTTTGGAAAAACAAATTTGAACAAATGTTCAACCCCATAAACAAGATTTTCAGCTGGGCTTCTAGTGCCATCTTGTGGCTCAGACTATTTATTAAATTCCCAGAACTTACAGTTTTTCACCTAGGTTGTTGAAAGTTTTTCAGGCTGTATGGCCATGTTCCAGAAGTATTCTCTCCTGATGTTTTGCCTGCCATAGATACAGGTGAAACGTCAGGAGAGAATGCTTCTAGAACATGGCCATACAACCCGAAAAACTTACAACAACCCAGTGATTCTGGCCATGAAGGCCTTCAATGATACATTTTCATCTGTTTTTCCTTTTCTTTTTGTTTAAACAAAATACTGAATTTTATTTGGGATGGTAATACCAGGTTCTTCATTCTTTTGTAGGGCTCTTTAATCTCAGAGGTTCTGATGTTGAATACAACCCGGTGTTTTTTGCTTATGCCATCATAGGTATCAATACCATCAGGTAATGAGTGCTGTTGCTTTCAGGTTTGTTTCACATTGATTTCATTCTGGCGGTTGACATTTTTTCCTTCGAGAAGTTCATATTCATGGTCTGAGGAGGTATTTATGATGGAGAAATTTATAATTTTGATTTAGTTCTTGTGAAGCTTTTCTGCTTCTCATACCAATGTGATGTCAGTATGTGATGTTTTGAAGATGATTGCCAAGGCATTCTAGAAAATCCTATTTCAGTTTTCCTGTGAAGAATTTAAACATTACAGTGCTAGTTATAAAATATAATGCAAACCTTATTTAACTGGCCGCAGGGCTGGATTCACTGATAAATATACTAAAATGTGTGCATATTGAAATACAGAATTTTAGGAATCCTAACTTTTTTCAGTTGAGAATTTCAGTTGTATATCTTTTTTCCTTCCTTCTCCTTTTGAAAGTTCCTCCTTTGTTAATGCTGGGTGAATATTTCAGCAAGGAATGAAGGGATCGGGCTATTTCTGGTTTGCGTTAATATTCTATATATTTGATTATGAATCTGTTGTATTTCTGAGGTAAGGTATAATTACATTTGTGCTAGCTGCCAATATAGTTGCATTCACATCTATTAACCTGCAATTTATTTAAAAAAAATAAAATTTAGAACATATTTTGTCACAAAAATGCATTTTTGGATATTTTTAATTCTGAAAACATCCTTTTAGTATGGATTTATAATTTCTCTCACCATTTATTTTTCCAGATTGTTTATTGATGGTGACCGCATGGGAGACCCAGCTGTGAGAGAACATCTTCTGCAGAATTCTCCTCAAGATGCTGAATTGAGTATCCAAGTGTTGCCATACGACTCCATCCTCGCGGTTCTGAAGTCCATCTGTGAGAGCCTAAATCCTCATGAGAAAGTTTGGCTCAGTGACAAATCCAGCTATGCTCTGACCCAGGCCATCCCTAAGGTCAGTATGTTTTAGTGAGAGATCAAACCTCTTAGACTCATAGGATTGGAAGAGACCCCAATGTCCGTCCAGTTCAACCCCATTCTGCCATGCAGGAACACTCTATCAAAGCACTCCCAACAGATGGCCATCTGGCCTCTTCTTAGAAACATCCAGAGAAGGAGACTCCACCACACAGCATAGCATAACAGCTCCTTCTTCCTAATGTTTAGAGGGGATCTCTTTTCCTGCAATTTGAATCCAGCTCACTTCTCTTTATAAGCATTTATGTTTAGTCTTCATACTCTCAGGTTTTCTTCTTTGTGAAATTGTAAAGTCCTTAATCTTTGTGGGAAAAACCAAGCTGGTCAATTGTCTTGTTTAAGGTTAATACAATGAGAAGAAGTGGGCCAACCCATCATATCATTGTTATGTAATGTGAAAAAAATCTTGGAGTCCTTGTGGACAAGTTAAACATGAGCCAACAATGTGATGCAGTGGCAAAAAAAAACCAAAACCCAATGGGATTTTGACCTGCATCAATGGGAGTATAGTGTCTAGGTCCAGGGAAGTCATGTTACCCCTCTATTCTGCCTTGGTTAGACCACATCTGGAATACTTTGTCCAATTCTGGGCACCACAAATGAAGGGAGATGTTGCCAAGCTGGAATGTATCCAGAGAAGGGCGACTAAAATGATCAAGGGTCTGGAGAACAAGCCTTATGAGGAGCGGCTTAAAGAGCTGGGGATGTTTAGACTGCAGAAAAGGCTGAGCGGAGACATGATAACCATGTATAAATACATGAAAGGAAGTCACAGGGAGGAGGGAGCAGGCTTGTTTTCTGCTGCCCTGGAAACTAGGATGTGGAACAGTGGCTTCAAACTACAAGAAAGGAGATTAGGAACATTAGGAAGAACTTCCTGACTGTGAGAGTGGTTCAGCAGTGGAACTCTCTGCCCCGGAATGTGGGGGAGGCTCCTTCTTTGGAAGCTTTTAAGCAGAGGCTGGCTGGCTATCTGTCAGGGGTGCTTTGAATGCAATATTCCTGCTTCTTGGCAGGGGGTTGGACTGGGTGGCCCATGAGGTCTCTTCCAACTCTTTGAGTCTATGATTTCTGTCTCAACTTTCTTCCAATATGGGACCCAGGGCTTACAGTTTTAAGATCCCATTCTGGGAGAAAAGAGTATAAAACACACAACCAAAGATTAAAGCAAAGTATAGTTTAAAAACTGTTCAATTTCAAAAACAAAACAAAATAAATATTAACAGTCAGTTGTGTTAAACATGTAAAACGGTTCCCCAGTATCCTGTCAAATTAGGATACAGCAAGAATTTGGTCTTTCCAGTCTAAAAAGGGAAAATGTGACAGCAGCATAATATATCAAGGTCTGGATTGTTATCTTTATGCGAATTTTTTTTAAAAATTGCTTCTTCTGTAGCAGAGGTGGAAAAAGTGTCGCCCTAATTGCTCAGGAGATCGCAAAGATTCATTTTTCAGCCTTTACCTGTTCTTTTTTGGTCAGAGGTGACAAATCATCCTTTAAATAGGTTGCAGGGCTCACCTGCTCTCTTTGGTTTATTTCTAGTTTGTGTTTGGTGACACCTGGGTACTAGATTGTTTTACCGGTTAGAAGCCTATTCGCCTGGTTAGCTTTTGTGATCAGCAGAGCAGAGAAAAATTAGTCGGAAAAAGGATTTACTAGGAACACAGTGCAGAAGCAGGAACCTTAGAAATAAAAGTAGTCAGGTCTGAGCAGCACAAAAAGTAACACCAGAGTGCATTTTTTCAGGAGCATCAGCATTAATATAAAACTTAGCTTTATTAATAATTTTTTAATTTATGAATGAATGAATTGTTTATTGTACCAGTCATAGCCATGACATCATAGAATCAAAGAATCATTGAGTTGGAAGAGACCTCATGAGCCATCCAGTCCAGCCCCTGCCAAGAAGCAGGAAAATCACCTTTAAAGCACCCCTAACAGATGGCCATCCAGCCTCAGTTTAAAAGCTTCCAAAGAAGGTGCCTCCACCACACTCTGCGGCAGAGAGTTCCACTGGTGAACAGCTCTCACAGTTAGGAAGTTCTTCCATTAGGAATCTAATGGAAGGTGGAATCTGAGTTCAGGTGGAATCTCCTTTCCTGTAAGGTGGAAAGGAGTTCAGGTGGAATCTGAGTTCAGGTGGAATCTCCTTTCCTGTAATTTGAAGTCATTGTTTCACATCCTAGTCTCCAGGGCAGCAGAAAACAAACCTGCTCCCTCCTCCCTATGACTTCCCTTCACGTCTTTATCCATGGTCATCATGTCTCCTCTCAGCCTTCTCTTCTTCAGGCTAAACATGCCCAGCTCTTTAAGCCACTCCTCATGTGGATTTTATACAGCTGTGTGTAAGCTGTGTGTTAGAGATTCCTATACAGAACTAGATCCTAAAAATATGGGAAAAGTTTATTGAATTGCAAAAACTTTGTTTTTAGGGGACATCCTGCAGCACATGTTGCTGTAGTTTTTTCAATGAATATCTCATAGAGTCTCAACCAATTCAACATAGTTTGTGGTGGCCACAAAAATGATGTCTGCAGTATAACTACTTTATAACTACTTGCCACACAGTTAAACAGGAAATAACACTTTCAAACCAGGAGCAGAACTCTTTTTTTCAAATTTTGTTACAAAGTGTTATGTGGTGTGGAAGGTTTCCTAGCCCTCCAGAGCTAACTTTGGGGACACAAGAGGTGACAGCATTTCTTTCTTGGAAGTAGTACTGTCTAAAGGTTAAAAATAGTGTTGGATTTGCATCGAGACTGGATATGAAGAAAGACATACTCAAATCCCAGCATGTTGTTAAACATCTTGGGTCACATCAACCTAATCAGCCTCCTACGGTTGTTCAGCAGACTGTTGAATTTTAGATTTATTGTGTGCTATGTTAGTGGCATTTCAGCCAAAAGGGAAATAAAGAAATACATAAAAATCATGATTAAAATTGGATAGTATCAAGAATTTGCCTTAAACCTTTTTTTTAAAAGAATGGTGAGACATAAATGTGATGAAGGGGGATAATCTGGGGAGAGATAAACCACCATATGATAAAGTGCTTGTGTGGTGTACATCTTTTCTATCTGACTCAGGAGATTTGGAAGGGTCTGAAATAGTTATACCATAGTGCCCAGACAACCCCAGCTCAATAGTTTATTGGACTTTTTGACAAAATTTGTGTTGTATTCCTTTTTTTCAGGATCATCGTTATCTCACCCCCTACACTCCCATATGCATTGCAAAGGCTGTGAAGAATGCATCTGAGGCCGAAGGCATGAGGAAGGCTCATGTAAGTGACTTCCTGAATGTAATAAAGTGATTTCTGCTAAAATAATGGCAGATTATAGATGTAATTGATCCATGCAGTGATGATCCACAGATACCCTGCTGGCGAAGTGGCAGGGAACATAAATATTTTTGGTAATGTTTGCTAATGCTGGTTGATAAATATCTGTCTTAAATGTTTGTGGCCAGATATTAAAGAGTGCTAATGGCATGTATTCTAAGTGTATATATTCCATTTCCTTGTTTCTTCTGTTCTGATTTTAATAACAGATCAAGGATGCTGTTGCTCTTTGTGAGCTATTTAATTGGCTGGAGAAGGAGGTAAGACTTTTCAGGATTTTATATAAAGAAAAAGTTGGGTTACCATATAGTAAAAATGTATATAAATATAAGCTATGAATATTTAAATAAATAAATAAATCACTTTATTTATATTCCGTCCTATCTCCCCAAGGGGACTCAGGGCGGGTTCCAACCACAAAAGTCAAACATTCAATGCCTAATACAATAAGAACTACAAACACATTAACAGACCACCCAGAACTCAAAGTAAACCGACATATACTACATTAAACTCACATATATCATATTAAACCGACATGTAAAATCAAGTTAAACAAAACAAACAACCTGAAATTAAATTAAATTATATCTGATATACAAACATGAACCTGAATTCACAAAGAATTCACAGTTAGAATAATGTTAAAATTAATTATAATCACCAAGGCCAACCAAGCCAAAGTATAAAACAATTTCCAGACTGTGGTGTATTGGCTGAGCATAAAGATCTCCATATGCAAAGAGAGCAAAGGCAAATCTTTAATTGTTTTTTGAAAGAGAGTAGGGGGACCGTTTCTATCTCTTTGGGGAGAGAGTTCTAGAGGTGGAGGGAGATCACGGAGAAGGCCCTCTCTCTCGTTCCAACCAGCCGTAATTGGGACAGGAGTGGGACCGAGAGTAGGGCCTCCTCCTTTGACTGCAATGTCTGAGTTGGTTTATAAAAGGAGATGCAATTTGTCAAATAGCCTGGGCCTGAACCGTTTAGGGCTTTAAATGTGATGACCAGCACTTTGTATCTAGTCCGGAAGCAGACTGGCAGCCAGTGAAGCTTCCCTAATAGGGGAGTTGTCCACTTCCTGTATGGAGATCCAGTTTGTAATCTGGCTGCTGATCTTTGTACCAGTCGGCCTTGGTGATATTTGTTCTAAAATTGTGTTTTGGAGTGGGTGTCAAGGGAAAGCTCTAGATGCTATTATTATTTTTTTGAAGATGAAATAATCCTTTTTGAGAAGTTTTCAATTGTCAGGTGTAAATGAAGGAAAAATATAACTATTGTTCAGTATATTTATTTCCCTTATTTTTTATCCCGCCTTTCTCTACCCCGAGGGGAACTCAAGGCGGCTTACAATCGCACTTCCATGGTGCCTTAAAACATACAACATCGGTTGTATGGAGGAAGGAGAGCTGCAGAACACCATAGAGAGATCATTAGTGAAGCATTATCTGGGCAACACTAACTTTTATTCTGTTTTTCATTTTTCATGTTAAAGTTCTCACTGGCCTCATTCAGACAGAACACTGATTGATTGATACACTCAAACTGTCCTATTTCTCTTTCTGTCTTGGTTGGAAAAGGGAATCACTTCCATTTTCAACAAACCACAGTTCAGTGTTGTATCCATAACCTGACAAATTTACTGAAACCGCCAACTCCAAAAATTGGAGTATAGCATTGTTTCAGTAAAACATAACCAGGATTAACTAGAGTTTCTGGTGCAGATATATGATACTAAACCACTACTAAGTGAAGATGAAAGGAAAAGCTGCACAAAATGAGAAAGAAGGTGGTACTCAAGATTCACTTGGGTTAGTCTCATTTTTAAACTATCATTTGACCCAATTTCGATGTAGTACCCAGAATATTTCTAGTACAGACTTTCTAGTTACAAATGTGTTGAGACAACAGGAAGTGAGAGGAAATCTACCTCTAGGGAAGGAAACTCACTCCTGTATGAGTTATCATGGGAAAAAGCTGACTCAATTGAAGCGTTATCAATCCTTCCACAACAACCCAAAATTATTATTATTATTATTATTATTATTATTATTATTATTATTATTATTTTATGAAAACAGAAAGTAAGGCAAAATTTTCTGAACAGATAGCAAAACAAACTTTCCTATGATATCCATTTTTTTGGGAAAAGTTTTCTGGCTGGAGTTACTTTAAAAAATGTACCTGTTTTGACTTCCATTCAAATTCAAGTTAAGAGCAAACCTACAGAACCTATTTTGTTCATAACCCGAGGATTGTCTGTGTCACATTTTGTGAAAAAAATACCACCACCACAGTGGCTCTTTTCACTGGTAAAACAACAACAACAACAACAACAACAACAACAACAACATAATAATAATAATAATAATAATAACAACAACAACTTTTATATCCTGCTAGCATCTCCCCAAAGGGACTCGGGGGGGGGGGGGGCTTACAAGTGGGACCAAGCCCAACACAACAAAATTTACAAAGTAAAAACACATTAAAAATATAATATAGATATAACAATCTGATTAAAACAATTAAAAACAGCAGAATATAAAACAACCATTAAAATGAAACAAAACAAATCCCCAGAACCAGGGCTAAGGTGGGCAAGTTCAGAATTGGAGAGTTCTGTGCATGGGCTTGTGCAAAAAGCAGATTGCAGGAGTTGGGCTAGGTCAGAGTGCTGAGTTCACTGTAATGGTCAGTTTGGGCTGGACATTCATAGACAGAGGCCTAACTTTTATCAAACGCACACTAGAACATCCAGGTTTTGAGGTCCCTGTGAATGCAACTATAATAATCGACAAATAACATTGTATAACCTGTGGTTGACTTTGCATCAGATGAGAGAAATTCATAAAATGAAGGCAGGGAAAAGGTCATCTTCCTGCACCCTTTTCTTCTTAGGAAAAAGGTTTGATTGCAAACATGGTAAGGATGGGTGATCAGCTCCCCATCTACCTTGCTGCCTTACCGTTTCAGCTCCCTTTGGGCAGTGTGAAAAAAACCCTGTTCAAACTACTTCCTTCAATAAAGGTGAAAGGAAAACAATTGAAAAGGAGACAGGCTTTAGCACAGCAAGTTAAATAGTTGAGTTGGCAAGATTTACCAGCTGCAGTAAATCTTGCCAACTCAAAGGTTGACTGTTCAAAGCCTGGGTCAGGGTGAGCTCCTGGCCTTTCCACCTTCTGCCTATCCAGCAGTTTCAAAAACAGCAATGTGAATAGATAAATAGGTACAACTTAATGCAGGAGGCATTTAAGGCACCCATAAGGAAATATTAGAAAAATGCTGGTGATTCAATCAAGGAGGAAGTTTACGAACAAAGTTCTTTGGCACGGAAAAGGAATGACAGCACCCCCTGTGGCCGGAACTGAACACAGCCTCCAAAATGCTGAAGATGGGAAAGCCTATATATACCTCTATCTATGTAGTCTTTTTTGTCAGTGTATAACAGCATTGAATGTTTGCCATATATGTGTTCTGTGATCTGCTCTGACTCCCCTTCGGTGTGAGAAGGGCAGAATATAAATACTGTAAATAAACAAACTTAAATTGCAGAAGTAATTAAATTTAATTTAGCAATTCCCCTAAAGCTTCAGCATTGTGTTCTGCTCCCCATTGCAATTACTTAGGCTCTTTACCACCATTCTCTATTTCTTTCTTTTTATTTATTTGCAAGAGAGGGATAGTATTGCTAGAGACAAGGAATGCTTAATGATGTACATCTTGATCAGCAGGTGTTCATCGGTTCCAGCCATGACCTTGGAATTTTGCATGATTTTCTCACTGATTAGCAAGAACACTTCTTCTTAGTCAAAAACATTATGAAATCATCCAGAGAGAAGATTGTTTTGTCATTGCAGATGTCAAGATGTATGCAAATCAGTGGCCCTGATATCAATATGTTGGGATAGCACAACAGAGGTGGCTTGAAAGGAAAAGGCTAGGATTAGAGCCATAAAGTAGAACTGAATAAAAACACAATCCAATGTATTTTTTCTTTCTTTCCCTACTTTGTCTCTTAGGTTCCTAAAGGAAATATTTCTGAAATTAGAGCAGCGGATAAAGCAGAAGAATTCCGTAGGTAAGGAAAAAGCAAAGAGTGTTGGTCCTTGTAGTTGTTATGTTTTTCGGCAAGCCTATATGAAAGTTTATGGAAAAACAGAAAGGAGGATTGTGTCTCTGAAGCCATTCAATTTAGAGGAGAGAAGAGACATCTTCATCATTTGTCCTATTTACCTTTCCTTATTGCTATCTTGCCTTGGACAAGGTATGGGAACAAGGAGACCATGTTCTTGATTGTTATGTTCAGCTGTATCTTAATGTATCCATGGTCCACTCTGTGCAAACCCTTCCCTGCTTCTGATAGATGATTGCTTGACTTGGCTAGATAATCTTTTGTTTTGCACAGTGCTGGTTTTCTATGTTTTAATGGATTTAATCTGAATTGTTATTAATAACAATGCTGTTTAATGCTGTTTTAATATTTCTACATTTGTATATTTTAAATTGTATGCTGATGTTTTTATGTAAGCCACTTTGAGTCTCCTGTGGGAGAGAGAAAGCAGGGTATAAAATAAATATAATACCATTAAATAAATATGATGGAGCCCCTGGTGATGCAATAGGTTAAACCAGTGATTCACAATCTGTGGGTCCCCAGATGTTTTGCCCTTCAACTCCCAGAAATCCTAACAGCTGGTAAATTGGCTGGGATTTGTGGGAGTTGTAGGTCAAAACACCCGGGGACCCACAGGTTGAGAACCACTGAGAACCTGGCAGGACTGCTGACCGAAAGGTCGCCAGTTTGGGTGAGCTCCCATCTGTCAGCTCCAGTGTCTCATATGGGGACGTGAGAAGAGCCTCCCACAGGATGGTAAAACATCTGGGCTTCCCCTAGGCAACTTACAGTTTATTATTATTTTTATTATGAAAGTATGCAAACTTCAAATATTTCAGCACACTAACAAATCTATGTTAGATAGATTAGGCGCTGTATATAGGTCACTGTTGAGGTAGGTTAAACTCTGTTTTCTAGCAATCATTGCATTGGTCCACAAACTTGATTGATTCTGTACCATTTGTCTGACAAGATCAAAGCAAGAAAGTCCAAGCACTAATGACTCAATTGGACAGATCACAAAAGCAGCACATTAGTCACATCAGATATGCTGTACCCTCCTTGTACAGAGGTTGGCCTTCTTTGACTTCATCCTATGTTCTTACTAACAAGTGCCTTCTTGTTAGTAAGTTCAGCAGAGAGATCGGCATCCTAGACCCAAGAGAAGATAGTGAGCAGGCAAAAGTTCAGTTCAGGAGATGATTGTAAGACGATTATGTCTCTTTTGAGCAACCTGTGTTGTCTTGTTCATGAAACCTCTCTTTTCAGCCAGCAAGAGGACTTTGTCGATCTGAGCTTTGCTACCATTTCAAGTACAGGCCCAAATGGTGCCATCATTCACTACAAGTAAGGATAATCAAGTCTCTGCACTTAGCTGCTGGCTCTGAATCATTGAACCTAGCTGAGAGCACAGGTTTCAGTATGGTGCTCTGAAAACTATGTCAATCATGCATTCTTAAAATGATGGTGAAATATTAAAGAAGCAGGATGCCTGTGTCCAGGAAGCTGATTTCATATTTATAGATTTTGTTGAATTGTTGAGGGTTTTCCTGTGGATCACAGGATTACACTTTCCCCCAGGCAAGAAAAAAAAATCTCTGGAAAGACCTGTATCTAGCTGTGCACATACTATTTGACCATTCTTCTTTTTCTTGTGTATGATTGAAAGAACCAGACATGTCTAATATCAGGTTTGTATGCCTACATCAAACCCTACCTTGTCTGCAAACCTCAAGAACTTAATTCCTGGCAAACCAATGCATGCATGCAAGTCAAACATGAGTATACCGATGTAGAAATTAGTCCCTGTGCATTTAAAGTGTGTTTTCATTCTCCATCTAAGGGGTGCCATATAAAGGTTCAAGAACTTTAAAACAGTAAGAGTGTTGTCTGAAGACGCTTTCAGGTACTCTGTACTGATCTAATATGGGATTAGATATCTTTGAAGTAAAATGTATTATATAATTTAAGAAGAAATGTGTAGCTACACCTGAAAAAGTGATCCAGATGTTGAAACAAATTCTTTTGTTTTATTGAATAGGCCTACACCTGAGACTAATAGGACTTTATCCATGAATGAGATCTATCTCCTAGATTCTGGTGCTCAGTACAAGTAAGTGGGCAAATTTACTCAGTTCAACCTCGCTTTTATTCTAGGTAGAGACAAAAATGTAGGTTGCCTTTTATTTCTTCTAGAGAAAAATGGGGAAAATTTTGATTCATAGCAGTGTTTAATGGCAAAGACAGAGGAGTCACTTCTCCCTTATTTCACATTCAGTACCATTTTGATTTCTTGGTAGTATTGTTGGACTCAAAACACTAAAAATTGGGCAAATGATTAGTTTAGGGGATTAGTGGATTTTTTTTACAGGAGCTTAGCAGTGAGTGTAGGAAGTTACTGTTTTGGATTACATAAATCTAAACAGTTCAGGTCCAACTTACCTATCTGACCGCATCTCTTCATACCAACCTGCCCTAATCCTAAGTTCATCAGGAGAGGCCCTACTCTCGCTTCCACCACCATCCCAAGTATGGTTCATAGTGACGAGAGAGTGGACTTTCTCCGCGGCACTTTAATCCCCAGGGAGATTAAAGTGGCACCCTCCCTTTCATCCTTTAAACAACAGCTGGAAGCTTTTCTATTCAGACAAGCCTTCAGCAAAGAAATCATATGCTGATGAGATAAGATGAGCCGGGCTTTAGCACAGCAGGTTAACCACCAGCTGCAATCAAAAGGTTGGCTGTTCAAAGCCCGGGTTGGAGGTGAGCACCCAACTTTCAGTCCAACTCACTGCCCACCTAGCAGATTGAAAACAGCTGTGAGTAGATAAATAGGTACCACTTAGCAGGGAGGTGTTTTAATGGCACCATAAGGAAATATTTTAAAAAAATGCTGGTGTTTGATCAAAAGGAGGAACAGATTTGGCACAGATTGACTGCACTTCCCCGTGGCAGGAATCGAGCACAACCTTCAAGATGCCAAATGATGGGAAAAGCCTATATACCTCTATCTGTATTGTGTCTATCCTGTCAGTATATACCGGCATTGAATGTTTGCTGTATATGTGTTCTATGTTCTGCCCTGAGTCCCCTTCGGGGTGAGAAGGGCAGAATATAAATACTGTAAATAAATAAATAAATAAATAAATAAGGTTCAAACTTCACTGGACAGAGCTAAGTGCAATATGACATGACAGGACAGTACAATAATGTATAATGTATATCGTTTTTAATAGTCTATTTCTGTTTTGCTTGACTGTTATATTATTTAATTTTTATATGTTGACTGTTTGACTTTTTACTGTATTTTAACATGCTGAAAGCCACTTTGGGTCACCATTGTGGGAGAAAACAAAGTTGTTGTTGTTGTTGTTATTATTATTATTATTATTATTATTATTATTATTATTATTACATCTCTCTGAATCTCTCAGTCCTTTCTTCCACTTCCAGCCCAACTAATTGGGAGGTGCTAAGTTGACCAAGGATGAGCTAAAACAATATACTAGCAGCATTGGATTGGCTGGAAAAATTCTGGGAGTTGTAGTCCCCCATGTCCAAAAAAGAATTATTTTTCCAAGCATGGAGATGTATTCTGATGATACCAAGTCAGCAAGAGTGCCCTGTTTCTTTCTGTACTGTATAACCTCAGCAAACAAGCTGTGGTAAAATATGTCAACAGTCCATAAAAGGTAAAGCAGCTGAGTGACATCATTATTTGTATCATTCGTTTGCTAATTTAGTATAGTAGAATGAAGTTCACAATAACAGATTCATCTGTCGTACTGGCACTGGGTAGCTGGGATCTTCTTCCATTGAAATCTGCAACAATCCCATATACTTCAAAAGAATGCAGGTGTTCCTTCTCCTCACCCCTTATCTTTTTCTAATTGCTATGGATGATTTATGTAGAATTTCTCCATTTCAATTCCTGTTTTTAACTAGTTTTATGTGGTTTTTTAAAAAATTGTCATCTGTTCCCAGCTTTGACAAGCTGTCCACAGTACACAACAGCTTAACCAATTTAACTGCCTTGGGTGTGTGCAGTAGAATCCTGAATTATATATAGTAGACAGAATTGTATATATGTAGTAGACAGACTGCAGCCAGGAAATCAGAAGACGTTTACTTCTTGGGAGGAGAGCAATGACCAATCTCGATAAAATAGCTAAGAGTACATCATACTGGCAACAAAGATCCATATAGTTAAAGCAATGGTATTTCCCGTAGTAACCTATGGATACGAGAGCTGGACCACAAGGAAAGCTGAGTAAAGGAAGACAGACACTTTTGAACTGTGGTGTTGGAGGAAAATTCTGAGAGTGCTTTGGACTGCAAAAAGATCAAATCAGTCCATACTCCAGGAAATAAAGCCTGGCTGCTCACTGGAGGGAAGGATATTAGAGGCAAAGAGGAAGTAATTTGGCCACATAATGAGAAGACAGGAAAGCTTAGAGAAGACAAGCTGGGGAAAATGGAAGGAAAAAGGAAGAGGGGCCAACCAAGGGCAAGATGGATGGATGTTATCCTTGAAATGATTGACTCGACTTTGAAGGAGCTGGGGGTGGTGATGCCGACAGGGAGCTCTGGCATGGACTGCTCTATGAGGTCACGAAGAGTCAGAGGCGGCAACATGAATGAACAACAAGAGAGAATTTTAACTATTTAGCAAACATCAGGATTCTTCAGGAAAGAAGCATTGTAATTAAAGGATTCAACTACCGCAACTGTACACAGAGTGTACATTCACTAAACTCTTTATTACTAGAGTAGCTTTAGCAGGGCTTAGTGCAAAATCCCATAGCTGCATTTTTAAAAGGATAATTTTTGATCCAATTTTCCCAGTTTCAGTGCTCTCCAGAACCCTTTGATGCCAGTTCTCTAATGGCTATGCTGACTAGAAATTATGGGGGTTATAGTCCAACAAATCTGGAAGTGCAAGATTGACTTAGATCGGCTTGTATGAAATAAAATTTAACACTTATGTAGCATCTTCAACCAATCTGAGCACTTGTGAATTAACTGTAAGATAAGATAATTACCGAGCTGTATTAATTACAAAAATGTCATCAAGTACCTTCAGTAGTACTATGTCCTTTCTCTCTTTGAGATGGGGCAGAGAATTGCAGCTTAAAGAACAACTCACTTGAGGTACCCAGGGAGTTAATTGCAGGGTCAAGATTCAAACTTGGGACTTTCAGGGCTGTAGTACAGTCTTGCAGCCAATATATGCTCCACTAGAGAGTGAAAAAACATTTTGTTGAGCAAGGAATGTAGCAGACCTGGTCTGCCCTCTGAAGGGAATTGCTTCTAGAGAGAGTTGGCATTTTCGTTTCCCAGCGCTTGTAATGGGCTTGTAATGGGCCCTTTCAGCGGGAGCTGTGTGAATGCTCTTTGATAAGGCTTGTACAATGAGATCCTTCTTCCCAGACAGCCTAATGATCGGCTCCCTCCGTGTCACAGTGAGAAGCAGCCACTTGAGTATAATGAGTTAGCCATCCATGATATTTTTCCGGACTCTGAGGACAGTGGGTTTGAATGGGCTGAAGCTGCAGCCTTAATTTGACTGCTTTCAATGTCATGTGCTAGGGCAGAATGTCTGGACCCTATAGGAACGATTTTGTGCATGTTTTGCTGATGAGATTCTGTTGCTCTTCCCCAAATCCATTAATATTGATGCAGCTTGTAGTAGAGAACATTCAAGTGGATTGTGTTATTAATTTTCAGGGGACTTGTAGGATTTCTATTACAGATGCAACATGCCACTAACTTGGATATCTGAACAAACATTTTGGGGTCTTTAGAGCTGGAAGAGGTTTCCTTGGCCAAGAAGCCAATGTCACAGAATTACAGATCCTAGACTGTAATCCTAAACACACTTTCCTGGGTAATTCCCATTGAGTTTAGTAAGACTTATGTCTGAGAAGACATACCTATGTGGTATTTTAACTTTGCACACTGCTACCTGAACTTCTTCTTGCAGATGTGGAGGATTTCCTTTTTGGATTCAAACTCCTTCTTACTCAGTTTCCTAACATTTTCTCTCTTGATAGTCACCCTGGAAAAAAATCTAGATAATATTCTTGTTTGCTTGACATGGTGGTAGAAGTCACCCAAAAGCACCATGGATCAGTGGAAATCCTATTTATTTATTTATTTATGGCTTTTTTAGCCCATCTCTTCTCTACCCATGAAGGGGGACTCAGGACGGCTTATATTAGTAATGGTACAGGACTGATACATCACAATTACAAGAATCAATCAATCACAATCAAATACAAAACAATCATTAAGACCAATACATATAACATTAATTAAAACAATAAAACAAAGTCACAATGTCATCTGCCGCAACACCATTCCAGTCAATGTCCATTATGGTGCAAATTACATCTGCTGCCCGAAGGCCTGGTCCCAAAACCATGATTTTAATTTTTTTCTGAAGGCCAGGAGGGATGAATACTTGCCTATTCTCTGCCTTTGGAAACTTCACAATGCATTCCTTATGTGCTTTCAAATCAGGGTCACTACTGTTATTTTTCGAATGCTGAATTCTACACTTGTACTGCATATAGATAATAGCAGAATCCACATTGCTGCATTAGGTTTTGTAAATTCTGAATTGATAGAATTTGTTTCCCCATTAGGTTCTTGTGGGTTTTTTCGGGCTATAGAGCCATGTTCTAGAGGCATTTCTCCTGACGTTTCGCCTGCATCTATGTTTCCCCATTTTTTGTTCATACGACATAAGGAGAGTATCAACAACAATAACAACTTTATTTTTGTACCCCACCTCCATCTCCCTGAAGGGACTTGGGGAGGTTTACACATGGGACAAAATGTCCATAAAACATCAAAGCAAAACAATCAATTAAAAAATAATTAAAATAAAAAATAGCAAAACGTAACAGATAAAAATACAATTAAGTAAATATAAGGGTATGAAACAACAACATTAAGACTCGCTCAAACAATGCACAACAAATACGAATAACCAGAAATACTAAGATGGGCATGATCAGGCTATAAAAAGGACTGGACATGGGATAGTGCAAAACAGTGCAACATAGGGCCGGGGAATTGGAAGAAGTACAGAGAACAGAGTCTTATCTGGTGAACTAGGGGCTGAATTATCTGGCGAACTAGAATAACTAACTCTTGCTGTTCTTATTCTCTAAAAATGCTTCTGAGCACTATGTATCTAGGCTTGAATTAAGCTTTTGCTCTCAGAGAAAAGGAGTATTCTTTTTTAAAATAAGAGTTAAGGTACTGAGCACACATTGACCAGTACATAAGTCTGCATAGATTTTTTGGCTTAATATTTAAGTTCTAAACATATACATGAGTATATAACAGACATGGGCAAACTTTGGTCTTCCAGGTGTTTTATGCTTCAATGTATTGTGGTAGGCTTTCATGGCCGGAATCACTGGGTTTTTGTAGGTTTATCGGGCTGTATAGCCATGTTCTAGAAGCATTCTCTCCTGACGATTCGCCTGCATCTGTGAGTCTACCAGCTGTAGGAATTGTGGGAGTTGAAACATGGGCAAACTTTGTAGGGCCAAAGTTTGCCCATGCCTACTATATAGAGTGCTTCTGTCTTGAGTCTTACACAAAGAGAGAAAAGCTAGCAGGGAGCTGAAGGTCATTTAGCAAAGTATCTTGCGATGAATCCAAATCTTTTTCACCTAAACTTTCCAAACAGCTTGGCCTGTGCCAAAACAGCATGCAGACGGTTATCCAGATTGGAATGTTCCACAAGCAAAGAGCAGAAGGAGCCAAGAGACCTCAGTGCCAGAAAAGCCAAAGGGACACAGAAGAGTTCTGCTACAGCAGAGTTCATTTCCTCTAAAGTGCTGCTTCCAATGTTGCTTATTGTCACTCTTGGAGACCTTTTGATTTTGCATGAGTATGCAAGCCTTCAGTAGGTTTGGAGTGTAGTTTGGAGAATGATAAACTTCCAAACAAGTACAATAGTTTTACAAAGAACATAGTTGTATTCCAATTTGTGGCCAGAGTCTAATCTGTCTTCTTTGGAATGTTGTTCAAGAGAGCCCTTGGTTCCACTGATGCCTGTAGGAAAGGCTAAGGGTGGAAAAACAAGATACATTTGTGTTTATCAGTGTGGGAAACATGCTTTGTGGACTACGACTCTCAGAATCTTACTGATATTTCAGCTATGTGCAATTTAGGCATTGATTGATGCCATGTGTGGAAGGTCATGGCTACCTTCCTAACTTGTTTTTTCATGCTACTCTGCCTTCTCTGTGTAGATTTTTATTTAATTTTATTTTAACTATTCTGTACTGGTCATCAGCAATTATGATTAATTTACAAAAGTTATGTGTCAAGAGCACACATGGTTTCAAGAAGATCAGATCATTTATTAAAAATGGTATAAATGCTGTGAATATAAAACCATCAGAAACTAATCTTAAATCAACACAGAATCAGCTGCCTCTTGGATATTACTGCACTTTAAATTGCAAGTGCAGTACTTCAAATTCCTGCAGATGCAATATTTTGTCAGTTGTTGAGGACGGGGTAAAGGACTGGATAATCTTATCACATTTTCATGTCCAAAGCCAATCTGTTAATACAGGAATAAAACAGTTCCAAAACTTTCAGAGTCTCATTTTGTATGCTCTTTGTCTATATGAAGAAATAGGTGTATTTTCCCATGAGCCTGCTTTAATATAAATATAACTTAAACAGTTTTCTCCCCTTTATTGATGCTTTCATCTTCTCTTTTGTAAATATGTTTTGTTTTGTTTCATTTGGAAGGGACGGTACCACTGATGTGACAAGAACTATGCATTTTGGTGCCCCTTCGGCTTACGAAAAGGTATGGACAAACTCGATTTTCCTTTGCTCCTCTCATAGGACAGTCTTTGAAAGAAGAAGCACAGCCAGTGGGCAGGCTTCTAGATCCAATAAGATTAAGACATCAAATTGCTCTTAAAAGTTACCAAGTGCTTGGGCACTCTAAGCACTTTTACTTTGGAAAAGAAAAAAAGCTCATTTAAAACAATTGGGATAATGGATTATGACCTGTTAGGATCATAACTAATTGGGATAAGGATGATTATCTGTTAGGATTACAAGCTTGTTGGTGATTATGGATTATGACCTGTTAGGATCATAACCTATTGAGTAGCAGAGTTATGGAGGTGTTCCTTTAGTTTATTGAGTAATGGATGATCACTGGGCTCGTCGATATCTTGTTTCTATTTGATGCTTTCAGCAGACAAAGTTTCAAGTTGACAAAGTTTCAAGTTGAGTAACATGGTTGTTTACTCATAACTTCATGTATTTAAATACACAGGCACATTTCTTGTTGGGTTAAACTTTAAAATGTTTCAGTTTGTATCTTTGACTTATTGTCTTTAACAGTCTTTTCAAAAACTATATTGTTCTGTACAGTTTTCTTTCATAGCGGTCTACTTGGATTGTTTTAACTATTTATAAGTGTTGCTGCTATGTATTTTATCTTACTATGTGCATTGCTGGCATCGAATTGTGCCTTTTTGTAAGCCGCCCTGAGTCCCCCTTCGAGGGTTGAGAAGGGCGGGGTAGAAATGCTCGAAATAAATAAATAAATAAATAAATACTTTCAAAGGAACTCAAGCATCAACTCCCTAACACTGACATTTGACTGAAAAGCAGACTTCTGTACTCAAGCTGACACAAGCCTTAACTGTCCTCTAACTTCTAACACTGACGTCTGTATTCTGATTCAAGCCTTAATTATCATTCCTGTTGAAAAATACATTCTAAACAGTCATGTGATGTGCAGCCCCTCCCACTGCTTCAAGTATATAGAGCTAAGGAAACTGCAAACCAAAGAAGACATATACTTCAGTAAATAAAATTAGACATTATAAACATACATAACATTAAAATAAAGAAGGCTTGAGAAGGTTGCTGTCTCCAACAAAAGCAATGCTACTCAAAATGTTGGTCCTTGGACTGGCGCTGGTCAATAAATCATTGGTTGCCTATCCACAAGGAGTTCTAAAGAAAGAAATAGTTGTGGCCAGTGGGCGCAAGTATAGTATTGTAGAAGAAGAAAATTATTACTGGACCCTCGCAACAAATAGCCTGAAGAGCAGTGGTTTGATTTTTAAATTTGACTTATATTCTAATTTACTCATACTGCAGGAGTCAACGTGGCTTACCATGTAAGTGAAAACGCAATAGCTAAAATGCTATGCGACACACACACACAAAGTCAAACAATCCATTTAATCAAAACATTAATGAAAAACAATAAATTGACATTAAAAGCATATCACATATAAAAAAGCAGTACATATTTATACCCCCCAGCCAATAAAAGATGCAGATCTATTCAGATAAGCCAAACTTTCCTGTTGGCAAAAAGTGAGCAAGGAGGGGACTAACTGATCCTTTGGCACATTGTTAGCTTATGAAAATTTATGGGGAAATCTATCCAAAAGCTTCAGGGAGTGCTTTGATTGTATATTCCACATGGCAGGGGGTCGGATTGGATGGTCTTTGTGCTTTCTCCAACTCTGTGTTCCTATGATTCCCTCACAGCCCCAAAGGGCATGAGGGGATTTTTTTCTGAATAAATGATTTTAGATTTTCTTTTTTGCGGAAGTTATGTAAGGCTTAAAAGAGGCGGAAGCAACAGACTTTAAATGCCCCCTGATCACAGAGGGTGACAGAATAGAAAACCATGCTTGTGAATTATCACTTTGGTACAGTGTGCGGTAGTTTTTAAATTTTATAGCAGTCTTTTGAAAATTTATCTGGTCTATTATTTAAAAAATTGTAGGTCTTAAAATTGAACTGAACATTAAAGAAGCAACCCCAACCTCATACATTTTGATTCCTTTGATATATATATTTGGCTCTGAAAAAAGGACTGTATTTTGAAACCAAACTCAGTCCAGATTGACAGGTTTCCTTTTCTATTTGGCAATAACTAACCACCTGTTTTAGCAGTTAGTTTTGAGCAGGTGGGATTGTACTGCTTTGGACCGTGGTCTGTCAAAACTGTGCTCATATTTCTTTGATGATACAGCTGCACCATTTTTTCCAGTGAGACAGAAAAAGCTCAAAATGCAAATGTTTCCTGAGGCCAGTGGAGGCATCTGTGGTACAGTCCATATGGAGACTGAATGCAAAAGCCTTGATGCTGCCAAAAATGGCTCATTATTATCAACCCTTCACCTCTGGGCTTTGATTTGACGCACCAATCACCATCTCTTACCATCAAAATAAGCCACAATTTCAAACCCTGGCTCAAAAGCTATATGTTAATTTATTCTGGGATGTAGGTAATCTGTGGACTGGACCTTTCCCATGTTTGCACTTTTTATTCATTCTGCTCCATTCTTTGCAGGAGTGTTTTACGTATGTCTTAAAGGGCCATATAGCTGTCAGTGCTGCCATATTTCCCAATGGAACCAAAGGTTAGTTGCTTTTGCCTTCCTCCTCATTACAAAATTATTATATTTGCAGGCTATGGTTTTATTTGTAGTCTATGGTAGTCTGGGGAATGCAGGTTTTCAGAGGAGAGAGGTGTTTGTATCTGGGGACTATTTGAGTCTAATGAGCAGAGCTTTTTAGAAGAGAGAGGTGATTGCCCTTTCAAACCTACCATTTCTGAACCTTAAGCAAAGTAAACAGTCTGTTCCTTATTGTTCCTCTTTCCTGCCTGTGGTGTAGAAAAAGCACCAGTGTGTCATGTTTGGTCTCTGTTTGCGTTATTAGTGCATTGTGCATTGACATTTTCCTACTGCGACTTGTAGGTCATCTCCTGGACTCTTTTGCCCGGTCTGCTCTCTGGGATCAAGGTTTAGACTACCTGCACGGCACAGGACATGGAGTTGGCGCTTTCTTAAATGTCCATGAAGGCCCATGTGGCATTAGTTACAAAACATTCGCAGATGAACCTTTGGAAGCCGGCATGATTGTTTCTGATGGTAATATTTTCATCACTGTTGGCTGTTTTGTGACCTAGTTTGAAAACTACCATGGTCTTTAGCCTCTTTTAAGTTCAGGAACATTGCTTGATATAGGCATTTGAGATTCTTTTGGTTCCCTGTGTTTTATAGGTAAGACCAGGAATCTCAATAATACCTCCATTGTCATTAAACATGAAGGAACCCCGGTGGCGCAATGGATTAAACCCTTATGGCGGCAGAATAATAATTAATAATAATAATAATAATAATAATAATAATAATAATAATTGTGGTGCAGCTGGCTGAGTGTCAGCTGCATTAAGATCACTTCTGACCAAAAGGTCATGAGTTCAAAGCCAGCCCGGGTCGGAGTGTGTGTCCGACCAATTGTGTAGCTTGTTGTTGACCTTTGCAACCCGAAAGACAGTTGCATCTGTGAAGTAGGAAATTTAGGTACCACCTATGTGTGGGGAGGCTAATTTAACAAAATTTACGAGGCCATAAAAAGACTCCACTAATGCACTCCAGCAAAAGCATGCAGGGAATGCGGAAGTACTTCATCAGTGTCGCAGATGGACGATGAAAGTGACAGGTTCCCTGGCGGCCAGAAAAAGTTAAATAGCCTCTGACTGTCTTGTCTATGTTGTGTGTCTTGGCATTGAATGTTTGCCATATATGTGTACATTCTAATCCGCCCTGAGTCCCCTGCGGGGTGAGAAGGGTGGAATATAAATGCTGTAAATAAAAATAAATAATATACCAGTAACACTTTATTTATATTCCACCCTATCTCCACAAGGGGTTTCAGGGTGGATCACAGTACACATACACAGCAAACATTCAAAACTGTTTTGAATAGACAATGCAGAGACAGACAGAACAGGCAGGAGGTATGTTGTCCAAAGTCCAGCTTTTTGGCAACTTGGAAGGTTGTGCTTGAATCCAGCCACAGGGGGGTACTGTCACTCCATCCTCTATGACGAAGAGCCCTCAAGACTTCCTTCTTCCTTTTGGTCACTGGCATTTTTAAAGTTTTTCTTTATGGTGTCATAAAATAATTCCCCTGCTTGTTTTAGTGGTACCTAATTTCTCTACAGCTCCAGTTGTTTTCGAACTGCTTAGGTCAACAGTAAGCTGGGCTGACAATCGGCAGCTCATGCCGACCCAAGGCTTTGAACAGGCAACCTTTCAGTTGGTAGAGCTTATCACAGGTGATTTGCCAGTTGTGCTAAAGCCCCAGACTGCTGATTGAAAAGTCGACAGTTCGAATCCAGGGAGTGGGGTGAGCTCCTATCTGTCAGCTCCAGCTTCTCATGCAGGGCATGAGAGAAGCCTCCCACAGGATGGTAAAACATCAGGACATTCTCTGGGCAACGTCCTTATAGACAGCCAATTCTCTCACACCAGAAGCAACATGCAGTTTCTCAAGTTGCTCCTGACATAAAAAACATCATTAAACATAATCGCTTCTGGTGTCAGACAATGTGACAAAATTGTGGGAGGCTTCTCTCATGTTCCTGCAAAGTGGACCTGACAGATGGGAACTCACCCTGTCTTGCAGATTCGAACCGCTGTCCTTCAGGTCAGAAGTTCAGCCGGCACAAGGGTTTAACCTGTTATGTATATTTATAATAATATAATATAATAATATGATTATATAATTATGTAGCGTGTATATCATGCTTACAAGTGTTCAGAGTACAAGAGACAACACTATAAGGTAGTGCCGTACTAGCATTATGTTGTGGCCGAGAGATGTGGGCTGAGGTTAGTTAGGCAATTTGTGGTGGAGAACTTGTAAACGATGTTCCTGGCAAGATTCTGGGACTTGTAACCCCAAGAAATAAGATTTCTGAACTCTTACTTGGAGTTCTTTCTACTTCTCCAAAATGATTTCTGTGGTCAGGCTGCAATAGCAGTCTTTGCTGCTATTCTCTGTGAAAAGTTCCTTATCCCATTGTCCTTTAAAGTCTTCAGGCTCTTAAACAGTAAATCTAAACTTACTGTTTTTGTAGTTGTTAGGAAATTTGTATGTGGTGGGATCTGTTTTCTGATAAATTTGTCTCCACAGAACCTGGCTATTATGAAGACGGTTCTTTTGGGATCCGAATAGAAAATGTGGTCATAGTCATTCCAGTCAAAACGAAGGTGAGCGATTCTTTAGTATGCTTAAAAAGAGCTGTGCCGCTTTGGGATGTTTTTGAAGTTTTTAAAATGTAAAAAGGAACACCAGCACCAACTAAAGAACAGTCAGAACAGAACATGACAGAGAACAGAGTTCACACACCTTATTTTAGGATAGGATTGGATGTTTTCTGTTGGAGAGCTCTCATTTGGCCATAGATTCTGTGGACCGAGCCTGTGAATGTTGCACTTACACTGAAATGGTGCTTCCCCATGGCACAAAATAATTAACTCGTGCAGCTGCTGTGAGATATTGTTGCCATCATAGCACACAAAAATCTCTTAGCCTTCTTTTCACCCTTGCCTGGAATATAGCAGTCACTGTGTCAGAATGGGATTATCTGCTCTCAAGAGGGGTTTTTTTAGCTATAGGATAGAGATGAAATGAGACTTCCTGCTTTGCCAGGTCTATTAATTCTTCTTCTTTTATTACCACATTGAATGAAGCCATTAAGGCTTTCTTGCTAGAATGAAACCTTTTACTTGTTTCATCGGCTTAGCATGTAGGCATGTTTCCTTTGGAGCCATTCCTGTACTCTCTTGGTATATGGTTGTTGCTATTTACTGAAAGATATAAGTCTAACTTTGGAAAGAGTCTTTGAACCTTTGTACTGTCTTGTTGGCAAAAGTAAAATATATACATAAATGGAAAGGGAGCTTATGAACCTGTAGCATGGACCTTAAAATCTGTTTCTTACCTCAGCTATATATACAAGACCCGCTAAAGTAGTGATTCCTGACCTTTTTTTGACCAGGGACCACTTGAACAAGGACCATTTTGAGCAGGGATCACTCTCCAACATTAGTACCAAAATGATTACGAATCTGTTTTTGGTCAACTTTAGATACGGTTTGGTTATTTGGGGTGCTGATTCAGAAAACTGCATTGGATATATGAGGGAAGGAGGGAGCATAGGGAGGAGGGAGCAAACTTGTTTTCTGCTTCCCTGGAGACTAGGATGCAGAGCAATGGCTTCAAACTACAGGAAAGGAGATTCCACCTGAACATTAGGAAGAACTTCCTGACTGTGAGAGCTGTTCAGCAGTGGAACTCTCTACCCTGAAGTATTATGGAGGCTTCTTTGGAGGCTTTTAAACAGAGGCTGGATAGCCATCTGTTGGGGGTGCTTTGAACGCGATTGTCCTGCTTCTTGGCAGGGGGTTGGACTGGATGGCCCATGAGGTTTCTTCCAACTCTATGATTCTATAGACTACATCAGCTCTATTTTCTGATACAGAACATATGCCATCCAGTAGTCGCTATCTGTTTGCCCACAGAAAACCATATTTAATAAGCCTAGGGACTATAAAAGGTTTTGTGAGACCAGTTGCTCTTGTTGCAACTGTGTAGTAACGGTGAGGCTGCAGACCATATTTTAGTTCTTGTGGACCACTGGTGATCCATGGAACACAAGTTGGGAACCACTACATTAAAACAATGGGTTTACATAAATGTTGATTTGCTGGTATTAGGATATTTTGGATGCCCCATTCTGTGCCCTTGTCTGTCTGAAGTGTATTGAAGAACAAACCCTTGTTTAAGGATTTAATTATCATCCAGAATATTTTTTAGTGGGGATAGCAGTCGGATTTAGATCCACCCAACATTACTAAATGTGCTGCACCCTGATAGACTTATCTATCTAGTTGTGTCTTGTTTCCTCAGTGAAAATGGGTTTGCAGAGCTATTCTTTTCTGTGTTCCAGGAGGAACTTTTCAGAGAGACAGATGATATGCCCAGATTGGTATAATAACCAAACTCCCCTTAACTATATATATATTCTCTTTGTGAAGTCTACAGGAGGAAAAAGCAACAGCACTATAATTCAGCTAGCAGCTTTCTCCAATAACCATTATTCTTTTCCCTTAACAGTTTAACTTCAGTAATAGAGGGAGTTTGACTTTTGAACCTCTGACCTTGGTTCCAATCCAGACCAAAATGATAAATGTTCACTTGCTGACCCAAAAAGAGGTAAGAAAAGAATAAATTGCCCTTTTCAAAAATAAATATTCAGGTTTTTGCTGTCAAGTTGGCTCCCCTCATTCCCAGATAGGACATATTAAAATGGCAATATACACAATAGCACTTATTTAGAGGCAAATCTGTCATAGTCGTATTTCTTATCAAACTTAACTGGAAGATAGTGGGAGGTTATTTAATGGCTGCTTGGGAGAAAATTGCAGCTTGGATTGACAGGAGGACTTCCAGGTTTACAAACAGTTCCAAAATGACTTCAATATCTTGCAGATGATAGTGATTGATATTTTCCAATCATCTTATCTAGGGTATAAAATGCAACTCATTCAGAATGACACTGCTTTAGTTGCTTTCTTTTTTTGATTACACAATATTACATACCATACCAAAATATCTTTGTGGCTAGCCGTACTGAACTCAGTTCTCCAACTGTAGATTCTTATGTAGTCAAAATGACAGCAGTTATGCTCAAGTGAGAGAGCCAGTGTGGTGTAGTGTTTTCATTATTGCATCTCAATCATGAAAACCCAACAACAACAACAACAACAACAACAACAACAACAACTTTATTATTTTACCCACCACCATCTCCCTGAAAAGGGACTCGGGCGTCTTACATGGGGACCAAGCCCAGTCAACAAAATATAAAATATAGCACAGTAAAATACATTGCATTACAAAAATTAAGACAAAAACCATACAAAACATCACAAAAACATAAACCATCAACAACCAACAACCAGAAGCCTAGCACAGTGGGCATGTTCACTGGATGACCTTGGGCAAATGATCTTCTCTCAGCCTCAGATGGAGCCAAAGAAAATCCTGTGATAGCTTAAAGTTGCCATAAGTTGGAAATGGCTTGAAGGCATAGAACTACAACAAACAATTGATATACAAGAGAGGGGTATTAGCAGATTTGGAAGACCACCATGTTTGTGGAAGTATAGCCACTTCACAAAATGAAGCATAAGGGGTTTTGGGAGGATGACTGTTTGGCCTTAACTTGAATAGGAACATTCCACACTACAACATTTTGTTACAAACTGCTTTCACTCACAACAGACATGACGTGGATAGATCTGACATTCAGAACTAAGAAAAATAGAAATGGATATTCGAAAGAAATATTGTCAGCCAATCATATTTTAAATTTTATTGTATAACTAGCTATCCCCTGCCACGTGTTGCTGTGGCCCAATCTGTGTATATGTGCTTTATGTGTATATATGTGTGTGTATATGGCTATATATGTGTGTTTGCGTATATATGTGTGGTTTTGCGCATGCATTGTAATGTATTTTTTGTTTTTTGGCTTTTTAAGTCTTTTCTGCTGTGTTTTTCAGTGTTTTTATGAGTGATGGTCACTCATTGGCCTGATACATGTATTGTGTCCAAATTTGGTGTCAATTTGTGCAGTGGTTTTTGAGTTATGTTAATCCCACAAACAAATATTACATTTTTATTTATATGGATTAGGAAATGTGCACCCATCTAGATGCTGTTGACGGTCTTAGCCAACTTAGCCAGAGTATTGGTACCTGCAACTTAACAATATTTGGAGAGCCAAGTTCTTTCCATCTGACATCATGTCAACAGTGAAAAAGAAACATACCTATATGTAATACAGCAAGTCAACTAGCAGAACCCAACATTTCTCAAAGGCTTTCCTCTGAGTTACATAAATGCCCAAAGGCTATAAGCCAAGTGCCAAGTCTTATAGATAGCTCCAGTCATTTGCAGTTAGTTGCAAGTCGAAGAGCAGGATGGTTTTCTGCTGAGAAGCACATACTCTCACGGAAACTCCTTAGCATTAAATGAGTGCTGACATTCTTATTTTTCTAGTAACTGATACTGATTTTTAGAAATGCCAGCATCAACTGTTGAAGTGAAAGCAACAGCAGTACACAAATTTGGAAACATGACATAAAATATTTCCTAAGTATTGTAAAAGAAGGAAGAGTAAGGACAGTGATCAAGTGAGTGCCAGTCTTGATAGACAAGGGCTATGAGTCTTTGCCTTCAACTTTAGCTGTTTGAGCTTTTTAGAAGATGATCTGAAGATGTCTTTCACACTCCTTTCCCCTTCCAAGTGACAGTAATGATGGTAAGAAATTAAGGTGCAATTCCCCTTTCTTGTTGGCTGATAATTCTTTTATCTTTTCTCACTTTTTAGTGTGACTGGGTGAATGACTACCATAGAAAATGCAGAGAGGTGGTTGGGGCTGAACTTGAACGACAAGGACGACACGAAGCTCTCCAGTGGCTCCTTAGGGAAACAGAGCCAATCTCCAAAATGCATTAATGTACTTTTTAAAAAACAACAACAAAATAATCCAATTCATTTTAAAATTGCAAAAACGGGACAGGTTGAGCTTCACAACATTATACTTGGTGCCAATATGCCTGATGATACTGGTAGAAAGTGTGTGTGTGTGTGTGGGGGGGGGGGAGGTGTGTGCAAAAAATCCTTTCCTATAATGATCAGGACTAACAGAAAAATGGGAGTCGGTTGGGATTTGTTTAGAAGCACTTCCTTCCCAAATATTAGTTTTCCCCCTTTGTGATAATGAAAAAAATAAATCCAGAGCTATGAAATCTTTTACTTTTAGAGAGAGGACAGGACAAGTGGGATGAATGCATGATCATGCTGTAAACCCAAAGGGTTTAAATGACTGCATTGTTTATTATGCTAATTCCAAGCTTAACCAAATTGCTTGAGAGATAGAGAGAACCTACCATGATATAAGTTGTTCGCCTCTGACAATCCAGCCAAGTGGTAACGAAAAATGTTATTATGTAAAGGGTTCTTGTAGCAATTTTGAGACGCTCAGAGAGAATGAAATGGGTAGCATAAGCTCTTGTAGGCTCAATCTACCAAAATAATCTAGTGTACTGTGCTCCCGAGCATCTCCAAATGCAGCATAGGAACAGCGCAGGATTCATTGATGTCCACTTGGTTGGCTAGGCCAAGAGTGCATTGGGACTCCTGCTGCTATTTTGCCATCCAAAAGACATTTTGCTGACAGTTTTGTTTCTGTGTGTTGTCGAAGGCTTTCATGGCCGGAATCACTGGGTTGCTATGAGTTTTCTGGGCTGTATGGCCATGTTCCAGGAGCGTTATCTCCTGACGTTTAGCCCACATTTATGACAGGCTTCCTCAGAAGTTGTGAGGTCTGTTGGAAACTAGACAAGTGAGCTACCTAGTTTCCAACAGACTTCACACCTAGTTTCCAACAGACTTCACAGCGTCTGGAGATTTCTGCCCTAGATGTGGGCAAAACATCAGGAGAGAATGCTTCTGGAACATGGCCATACAGCCCAGAAAACTCACAGCAACCCAGATTTTTTTCTGATGAAGCACCCAGCCGTGAGATCAGCAGAAGCAATGTTGCCAGCAAGGCATTGCCAAGTAACTGCTTCTACAGGGTGAGGCAGCATAACTTCCTTTTTTCAAAACTTAATAAAATCCATTGTATGAATCAGAAATTTTTTTATAATGTAGGTGCATACCTAAAGTTTAGTTTTACATAGTTTTGAAGATCAAATTAGGTAGGCGACGTCCCCTTTTCTCCATTCTCCATACACTGAGTAAACCGATTTCTGGTGTTTGTCATGACTCTTGCCAGCACACCAGGTGTTATATTGGCAATTTCTTCCTGGATGTTGGTCTTCAAATCTTGGATGGTTCACATAAACACGGGATTTCAAAAAAACCCATAGAAAAAAATCACAAGGGGTCAAATCTGGAGAGCGGGCCGGCCACTCCAAATCTGTTCGAAAAGTAGGCCTCAATGGCAAAAACACGCTCCTCACTGTTCCAACGCATGATGGTGACTGAACTGTGTCAGGACAAAACTTTATACTCCCGCCTCTCAAACGAGACCACTAGCGCTCCGCTACGTCTTCAACCGACTGAATGACGCACATTTAAAAAAAGGAAGTTATGCTGCCTCACCCTGTAGTTGTTTGACCTGGAGACACTGAATCTGGTCAGAGGTTAACACCTAAGAAACACCGGGATCACTCTGAAGCTTTCAGGAAGTTTCAAAGTAAATTGCAGATTTTCTTGCACCGGATTAATAGATGGAAACATTTCTGCTGTGAAACCAGCTGTAAGCAGCGTGGACTCCTTGCAGCAGTTGCAAGGTGAATCTCTTTTATTTGACCCATGAAGACACAGCCCTAGTCTATAAAAGCTTATACTACAAACATCTTTCTTTACCTTTGTATTCTACCACCATAGAGAGCATATGCTATTTATGCTATAGCAGAGTAGTAATAAAATATACCTCTTGTGGGTCCTTGAGACTGGTAATCTTAGCATGGCTGTATATCAAAAGGTTTTTAAGCTTAGCTTTTCTCCACCTGCCATTTAATAACCGTAACTAATTCATGAATTTGCCTACACTTGTTTGTTACTTGGTGACTTCCAACATCAAGTGATGCTTTGCTGCCATAAATCAGACACCACCTAGTGCAATATGGTGCATGTCTACTCTGAAGCAAGTCATGTTTAGTTCAGTGGGTCATACTTTCAGGTACATTGGTGGTTTTTTTTTTTTTTACCACGAATAGGACCATTTGGATTCAGTAGGTCTTACTCCCCGGTATACAAGCTGGTAGCCTCTGCTAAGAGCATTCAGATAAGCTTCCATGATCCCGATTCACCTTGAACAAAATAATTTTTCATAGATGCAGTTCACAATGTCTGTCAGATGTCTGTCAATGACCCTTAAATCTTGAAAAGTGGTTGCCCCTCCACTCCTGACTTTTGAGAACACATTGTAAATTGCTTTTTGTGAAACTGTTTTGGACACCATCTTGTGAAAGCTTGCAGTATAACACAACAGGGCCTCCTCCAGTATCATCTCTGCCTGCGTCTCTCCCAGCTCTTGAAACCGTTGAGAGTATGGACTTCTGGATAGATGCATTAACAAAACTGATGTTAGAAAACAGTGCTGTGTGTAAAGGACATTAAATGTTCAAATGGATCTTTTATACACTTTGGATCAATTCTCCTCCTGTTTTTACATTGCCCAAACACAGGAACTCCAAGTGCCAATAAAATCACTTTACTTTACTGCTGTGTTCAGTTCTTCAAAGTCTACAATTTGGGGGCAGAGACACAGATAAATTCCTACTATTAGTTGGAGGCTGTGGAATCGCAGCCAAATTTTCTCAGTGTGAGTATGTTGTAACTGTAAAATTTGAAAGCTTCGATAGGCAGGGAAATAACATTTTTTAAGGGACATGCCCGATATAATGTGCGTTAGGTGTGAAAACAAACGAAAAAGGAGCATGGAATAGTTCAGAATTGACTGCGTGTGTTTATCAGCTTTGAGGCAGCACAAAATGTTTGAAAGCAGTTGAGCATAAACAGAAAAGAGAAAGAAGACACATGTAATTGGAGGTGATTGGACCGAGTGGGCATCCTTTCATTAAAATTAATAGTATTTTCAATTGTGAAAGGCAAAGTTCCCATGATGGTTTGTAGTAGAAATGGGAGCTCTCTTGGATTGTCCATCCTGCGCAAAAATAAAAACCAAAACCAGATGTGGGCAGAAGTCTATTTCCATTGCCTGTCCTGGTAGGCTCCAAGAGTGGCATTTGGGCAGAAAATACATGGTTTGGAGGTGTTGGAGGCTGCAGTAACAGCTCTGGAGTTTGCATGTGACCTCAGGATTCACCTTTGCCAGCTCTCCAACTTAGAATCTTCTTACCAATTGGAAAATCTCTATCCAAGGAACAGGGAGGGAAAGGAAAGGAAGGGAATCCATCCGCACTGGTTTAAACTGACGCGAGAGGGAAAGGAAAGGAAGGTAATCCATCCACACTGGTTTAGAACGCTTCTCTGGCTTGAACTGACGCCAGGGAACAGAACAGAGGCGAGGGAAAAGCTGAATCATTTCCAATTCCCTTACTGATTCATAAGAGAAATGGCAGAAAAAGCTTCGGAAGGGCAAAGGGACTTCCGGTTTCCTTAAAAACTTTGAAATCGCTTCAAAAAGGAAATCTTTCTGAATTTATTCCAAATTGCGAAGATTACGACCGAACCTAACCATACCTAATTTTGCTCTATGAACGTGAGAAGATGTTTTCTTTGGGTCTTTTTCACACTACACAGATCACAATGACTATAATAATTCCATTTTACACAATCTGGGATTTTTGGTGTCATGAGGCATTTCTTGTTCTCAGCCAAATTGCTGAGGCGCCTCACCAAATGATAAAGCCCAGTATTCAGCCATGATATTTAAAGTGGAATCATGATGATATACCAACATTTCACAGATGAAAACTGGGCCAAGCAACATTATAGTGTGGTCAAGGTGACAAATTTCATTAAGAAAGAACTCACAAGCTAGGAGAGGCTACAGCAGTTTATTTTTGCCTAAGCCTAGTGGAGAAGGGTGGTACTTTGCCATGTTAGTTTACATAAATATTAATTTCAATGTTTTTTTTACAGGCAAGAGACTGGCAGAAAAATGTACAATGGATTTGGGAATATGGAAGGCCTTTCTCCATCCTTTTGCTGGCATAGTGAAGCAGTTTGAGTGCAAGAGAAAGACTCTGAAGGACTAGGATTCAAATCCCTAGTCCTGGAAATAGACCGAGGCCCTTTCTACACTGTCCTTATATCCCATGATCTGATCCCAGATTATCTGTTTATCCCAGATTATAGGGTAATGGAGATTCATATAATCCAGTTGAAGGCATAAAACCTAGGATCAGATCCTGGGATGTAAGGACACTGTAGACGGGGCCTGAGTGGCCTTAGACAAGGCACATTTTCTCAGAAGAAGGCAATACAAAAGCTTCTCTGCAGAAATCTTGCTAACAAAGCCCTAGGAAAGGGTTGCCATAAGTTAGAGCTGAGTTGAAGACACAACTCACCAGGGAGTGAAGCACCTAGTTCCAGATTGTGCTTTTATTGTGGCATCACTCTATCTTTTCTTGGAATTTTCTGGGAAAGTACAGTAATTCTCTGTACTTTATTTATTTATTATTATTCTACCCTGCTCTTCTCACCTTGAAGGGGACACAGAGCAGCTTACAATTATGGCAAAATTCAATGACTCATTACACAGACAACTAAAGAAATACAACAAATCAAGCAATAAAACAGTTCAAACATATAAATACAATAAAACAGATTAAAAACCTAATTTCATAATCGTTCATGCTGCTACATTCAAGTCGGATTTCATATTACCCTACTCCCCAAACGCCTGTGTCCAAAGCAAGGTCTCTAACTTTTTCCTGAAGACCAAGAGGGAGGGGGCCAGTCTGATGTCACTGGGGAGGGAGTTCCATAGTCAAGGGACCATCACTGAGAAGGCTCTGTCTCTTGTCCTCACCAGCCATGCTTGTGAAGGGGATGGGCTTGAGAGCAGGGCCTCCCTAGCAGATCTAAATGCTCAAACTGGCTCATAGAGGGAGATAAGTTTAGACAGGTACTTTCCCACCAATCTTTTTTTTATCTAACCACAGGACATTAGTTAAGAATGGAAAAATGATTTGGCTGAATTGTCTTTTAATCTGTGGCGCTGATAAAAAATATACCTGAAAGTACTCTTAGCTTAATTTTGAAGCAATCTTAAGAGCTGAGTTCATGTCAGCTACCAAACTTGCATTCCAACCTGTACCTGCTTAGGAGAGCATTTGTTTGTATAATGTATGATCCCATGTACAGGTTGAATATCCTTTATGGGTCCAGAGGTATCTGAGATTTCAACCCCCCCTTCCCCCCAGTTTTGGAATACTTGTGTATATATGTACCCAAGTCTAAACATGAAATTCATTTATGCTTGATATACAGTTTGTAGCCAGAAGTTCATCTTATACAATATTTTTAACATTTTTTTTTGCAAGAAACACAAATGGTGTACATTGAACCATCAGAAAGCAAAGGTATCTCGGCCACCCATGTGGATGATTTTGCATTTTGAAATTTCAGATACGTGATGCTCAACATCTGTTTCTTTCTTCCAGAAGTGTGATTCACTTTCATTTAAGAAGTGTTGTGACTTCCTTCCATCCGAATGAGGCAGGTTTTCCTTCCCCCTCAATGGTGTTGCAAGTTGCATCTCCTCACCATTGCACCTCAAAAACAGTGAAATCCATTCATATTTATGGGTGGAAAGTAGCTTTGTATAAAGAGTTTTGTAAATACATTTAGGAGATACATAATCCCCATTTTCCTAGTTTCCAACAAACCTCACAACCTCTGAGGATGCTTGCCACAGATGTAGGCGAAACGTCAGGAGAGAATGCTTCTAGAACATGGTCATACAGCCCGAAAGACCTACAACAACCCATTTAGGAGAGACTTCTGGGTGTAAAAGTTGCTAGGGTAGGAATATGAAGAAAATATAACAGAAACCTTCACAGAGTATGAGAGGAACTGTTCTGGCATTCTAATTAACTTGCCTTTCTAGTGGTGTGTACTAGCTTGGAAGAATTTTAATACAATAATTAAAACTAGAGCCTATCTCTTCACCATTTCGTGTCCTTTGGGGATTTCCAGAGGCACTGAAAGCAGCTCAGACTGGAAAAAAAATTGCTTTCTTTGTTTCTCTCATTAAAAGTTTTCCAAATTTGGATTGTTGCAGCTGATGCATACTGATATAATTGGGGTGGGGGGAAGCTCCTCAAGGGGAAAAGTTCCATTTGCCCATTTATTGTATGCACATACACACTAGCAATCATTATGAAAGCATTGATATACCACAGAACAGGAAATGGCACTCTCGCCCTTCATCCTAAGATGCACAGATATCAGAGCCAGCCAAGATATTTTGGCATTCAAGGAAGAACATTCCAGAAGTAATTCTCCCATTCCCATCAACAAAAAGCACAACAACACATTAAGCAGCCAAAACTTGGGTGCTCTTTCATGACCATCAAAATCTGCCATTTAAAATTGCCTCAATCTGTCTATCATGGGATTGACCCAAAGGAATATTAGCGTGCCCGTTTTACAATTGTATGAATAAATGCGTTACTCGAATACAGAAGAGCATTCTGGAACCATCTGGAAGTTTTTCGTCACTGTCTTTTTTAATCCATGTTTTCTGATAGATAAATGCAGGAGGAGGAGGAGAACTTTCGCCCAAAGTTTCTTTCTGATTGCTATTAAAAGCAGTAGTAGAAAAAGACATCCTTGTCATTAAAGCTCAACAATGACACTTTTGATGTTATCTGTTTTCCATTTATATAATCAATATAAAAAAATAAAAGTTCTGTTCAAGTGTACATTCGATGCAAATATGAAATAACACATCTCGCCATTATATATCTCTCTCTCCTCTTCTTGAGTTGTAATGATTTTGTGCAAAATCCTTTTATTTGTTTCATGAATTCCCATTATAATCTTAGAGATAGACACAATCCCTTTAAAACTTTAAATCTTCCTTATTGTCTCCCTGCTGTTTTCAAGATCTCTAATAAAAAAGAACGATATGACAAAAACCACTCCTTTGACATGGTCAAAGGACAACAGTAGGTCCACCTTATCAGAAAAAAGTAGGCTGGAAAACAGTATCATTGCATGGGCTATTTTGGGAGAAAAGTAGGGTTATTTATCTATTGTGTCAGAAGCAAATACAATTATAATGTATTTTTAAAAACCATAAACAACATTTAAAACTTGGCATTATGCTAAATTTCCTTTGACCAGAAGTTGGCCACTAGGAGTCCCTCTGGTGTCTTTGGAAGAAGGTCCTCCATTGTGCATGTGTCAGGGTTCAGGCTGCATTGTAGCAAGTGGTCAGTGGTTTGCTTTTCTCTGCACTCACATGTCGCAGATTCCACTTTATAGCCCCATTTCTTAAGGCTGGCTCTGCGTCTCGTGACCCCAGAGCACATTTTTTTCAATACCTTCCAAGTCGCCCAGTGTTCTGTGTACCCAGGAGGGAGTTTCTCATTTGGTATCAGCCACTGATTGAGGTTCCAGGAGATGAGAGGAGCCTCTTTACAGGATAGTAACACATCTGGGCTTCCCCTGGGCAATGTCTCTGCAGACAGCTGATTCTCTCACACCAAAAGCGACTTGCAGTATGCAACCAACTAAACAAAAGT